TACCTGTATAAGTTTTCCCTCTGCCCCCTTGTCTTTGTGTGTGATTGTTTATTGTGAGGATCGTGAAGCTCGGTAGAGCTCCTTGTATTTTGTATTCGCCAGGTTATTTTCCCTGTGTGCCTTGTTAGTTCCAGTGCACCTATTTTGCGCACTGGACTGTTTTGACGCATTACTGTGTAACTCTGTATTCCGGAATAAATCCTGTTATTCTGTGATTTACCCTCCCGCGCCTGACTCCTTCAAATCACTCATCACAATCAGTCTCTCATGTCACTCTGTATCAGATAATTCTACAGGAGAATATCAGGCCATCTGTCTGTGAGCTGAAGCTAAAGCGCAGCTGGGTCATGCAGCAAGACAATGATCCAAAACACACAATCAAGTCTACATGAAAATGGCTAAAAAGCAACAAATGTGAAGTTTTGGAATGACCTAGTCAAAGTCCAGACCTAATCCCAATTGAGATGTTGTGGCAGGACTTGAAACGAGCAGTTCATGCTTGAAAACCCACAAATGTCACTGATTTAAAGCAGTTCTGCATGGAAGAGTGGGCCAAAATTCCTCCACAGCGACATGAGAGTCTGATAACATTAAGTATCAAAAATATGCAAAAGTAGAGAAAATTAGAAAGGTGGCAAATACCTTTTTCACAGCACTGTAGCTACTGATCGCAAAATGTCCTATGTCTGCACCACACCCTTTGAGTCTCTTACAGAATGTTGTATGTAGAGAATGGCTATCACTGCTCTCTATTATCACATGGCTCTATGATGGTATTTATACTTATTTTATGTTTTACTAGTTCTCGTGTTTTCGTGTAAGATCATTATGATAAACCGTAATGGCTAAATACATTAGCTTTTTATTCATTAGTTTAGCTAATTCCATTAGGATTACTGTAAAATAACACCAACATAAAAGCAACTGTTGAAGTTTAGTAAAGAAATGGAGCTGAAAGACAATGATAGAAAATGTGTGTTTATTTAGATATTAGCAGCGTTCTCAAAAGGAAGCGGTTTGGGATCGGGGTAAGCATTAGGGATTTTAGTCAAGGTTACAATAACATTTTTAAAACAGGCAAATGTTCATATTTTCAGTTTGCAGCCAGAGCTCTGAACTTTATTCCTTTCACGGAACTTAAATGTATTTTTTGTCCTTCACATGCAACTTTTTAGTCTTTAAAATGTTCTCTGCTGTCAAATGTAAAGCAGGCAGAATAAATTGACTTCAACCATCCTCTCGTCTATGTTATTTTACAAGATCCCTTCCATATCCCAAAAGACAGAATTAGATTCTTCAAAATAAAGCTACAAATATTTACCTCTAAAAACGGTACAATCGCGGCTCTATACCATAATTTTTACATTTTTTTTTTCAATTGTATAGTACTCTTTTTTTTAAAGGTGCCATTTTTTTAGTTCTTTTCATTCATATAACTACCTTGACATAGAAACTCTTGTTACTTTCTACAGTGCATGTACAGTAGACAGGGATATTGATTTCTTTGCTCTGTCATCCACTTAGGTGTCTGTAATGCTCTCAGGATCTCATCATTGCAGTCACAGTGCTTTCTCATCCTTTATTAGGGGTCCAGAGCGAAGCTGTGAAACCTATTGTTATTCTTAGATTTTATTTCCCCTTGACAAGGACAAATAACTCAAGCATAGATAACTTTATTCTAATTTTGCTTACAGAAACTGGAGTAACTTGGTCAAAAATAATTGCACCGATTGGCCTATAGGTGGCGCTGATATAAGCAGTCTAACTTAAACCTTCATATCTGCTGCCCCGTTTGACCTAGAGACAGGAACATTTGTATGTAGGTGTCTTTCCTCATGCTGCACACATTTTTCTCAAGGACCCATAAGGTCCGTTAGGATAGATTTTCCTCTATCTTGGACATTTTGGAAAATCTTTGAAAAAACTTATTCTCATGAACCATAGGTCCAAGTAAAACCAAATTCAGTATGTAGGCCCATGGAACATCGCTAAATTTAAGGATTGGTTAAGAGATGGATGAGATGGTTGATTTATTGATCAATCTGAAATCAGATTTTACGTATCCATTTAAATCCTTTGTAAATCCACTTCACAATGGCCATTCAACTTCAAACGTTTTATGGTCATCAAAGACATTACCGTTATGAGCCATGTTAAGTTTGACATTGTGGAATCTCCTGCATGCCCGCTATGCTACAAGAGAGGGACACTGGAGCTGCTGACCTAAAGCTCTGGGAGGGGGCCGTTATCGCTGGCGCCATGACCAGGTTCTCAAGACCATTGCAGAAGCAATTCGACACAGGAATCTGCAAGAGCAAGCGAGCTTGGGACACCTGTCAGAAGATCACTTTCGTTCGAGCTGGAGAGCAGCCAGGCTCAAAATCCAGACCACCAGCAGGGATCCTAGCTACTGCTCGGGACTGGCAGCTGACAGCAGACCTGGAGAAGCAGCTCAAGTTCCTGCAGCACATTGTCAAGACAACCCTTAGACCAGACATAACCCTGGTCTCAGTCCACAAAGACCATCATTATTCTGGAACTGACAGTCCCTTGGACAGTTCGTCTTCAGGAGGCATATGAGAGGAAGAGGGCGAAGTACGAGGGACTGGTCATCGACTGTCAGAAGCAGGGTTGGAAGGCTAGGTGCATGCCTATCGAGGTAGGCTGCAAGGGTTTTGATGGGCAATCCCTCTACAGAGCCTACAGCACACTTGGCATCAATGGAGCGAAGAGGAGGAGAGCCATCAGCAACACCATCGAGGCAGCTGAAAAAGCCTCAAGATGGCTCTGGATCAAGAGAGGAGATCCATGGGGAGCAGCGTAATGCCACCTGGAGACAAGTCAGGGTCTGATCAACATTGGCTGGGTCGCCTGGGCGAGGGTGTGTGATGTTGACCCGAAACACCCTATGACTCCAGGTTACATCACTGATGATGTGTTCAGGAGCATCAAGAGATGTATTCATTCAATTAAAAAAATAAGGAAACTATTAACAAATCACTTTTTCTCTATTTCTTAGATTGATTTTAAATCCCCTGACATCCGTTTTTGGGAGATGTAGGGTTATCGCATATCCGGTCATGAAAGTTCCTTATCTGTCGTGATTGGTTTTGAGGCTTCTTTGGTGCATGACGTCACTCCGAGCCCTTACCAAAACACAAAACATGGCAGACAGTTTCACTCGCCATCTGAAACCAGTAATGACCACCAACTTCAATGACAGTTAAATACAAATTAAATAACATTGCTGCTGAGGAGGCCTTGCTAGATAGCTACAGTGTTTGCGTAATCTTAGCCGTTTTCTTAAAAAACAGAACGCGTTAGCTAAACTGCTTCTAGATTTGGGATCTCATGTGTGTGGACTGCATGTCTCGTAAAGCCCAAGGGCGGCCTCCCTGTGCCCCCCTAAACACATCTGTCACCTCTCGGCCGTATGAACGTATAACTGTGGATATCTTGGGTCCCCTCCCTCTAACCAGCCATGGGAATAAGTACATCCTAGTAGTCTGAGATTATTTCTCGAAATGGACAGAGGAGTTTCCTCTTCCCAACGAAGAAGCCTACTCCATCGCTAAGGTTTTAGCAGAGGAGTGGATTTGTCGCTTTGGCGCCCCCCCCCCCCCCCACAGTATTCACTCCGATTAGAGAAGACATTTTGAATCCAATCTTTTCAAAGACGTTTGCAAATCTCGAACCTCTGCGTATCATCCCCAGTCAGTTGGGTTGCTCGAGCGCATCTAGCACACGAGAGGGGTCATCTGACCTCCAGCATCCACGAGAGGGGTCTTCCGGGCTTCTTCAGCAATGGGAGGCACCATCAGCGTCTCCTTCAGTGGGAGGGAGGTCAACGGGAGCCCAACCTTCTAGGGGAGCACGACCAGTGCGAGACCGGAAGCCACAAGCGTGGTCCAAAGTTACCACATGGTTTCGGAGTGACTCAGAGACGGTATTTTCCACCCAGGATGGGGGATAGTCTAGTGAAGCTGTAGGACAGATAGTAAGGGAAGATGTCACTCAATCATGAACTAATTGCTCGCACCTGTGCCTGCATACAAGACTCTGCCCGGAACTCTGAGAAACTGATATAAGGCAGAGCCGAGAGTGTAGGCAGGTCTTGGCAGGGGAGCTGTGCTTTGATGAACGTTGGGCTTGTAGCCTTTGCAAGTATCCGCATTGCACTCACCTTAACAGGGAAGGTTTTGGCCAGTTCTCCTTAACCGTTCGGACAAGTAAAAACTCAGTCTTACTTGTCTGAAGGACAAGTGGCAGAAAAAGTCAATGTCAAGCCTTGTAGATAATTCCACCATGGGCAACTGGCTTTAAGAACTGAGCCGATGGACAAGGGGCAATGAAATGTGGTATGTATATAAAGTCACTGCAACCTTAGATGGCTGCACCAGACCAGTTTGTGGCACTATAGATCTCATCAGCCCAAGTGCCACCATAGGATACTAGAGCAATAATTATTGGTCAAGTGGACTTTGTCTCATGTAAATGAATGTTAGATTTAAATTATGTCAAATACTGTGATTAGTATATCTGTATAATCACATATCGTTGCCCGTGTTATGTTGTCTGAACGTAGCGAAAAGTGGCTATTTTATTCTGTAAAATTCTGTCTTGCCACTTGCACAGTCAGCGTATTACAGCTGTGCGAGTGTGCTGAAGTATTTTGGAACGCTAATGTGGAGTGTACCAACTAACATTTTAATCAATATGGTAATGCTTTCACTGATTGCACATAAAGGAAGATAGTTCCTACATTATAGAGTGCTTGCTTTGTTATCCAATTGATCTTGTATCTTTTCTGTCATCCTGTGAACCCCGTTCATTGCTGCTTGCAGGTATATTTTTTCAGTCTAATGTCCATATGGTTTTCCCCTTGGAATATTGTTCTGTTTCTGTCTTCTAATTCATTATTTCTCTGCTGGTCAGGGAGATGCTTTATAATTGGGCAGTCTCTCTATTGGTAATAAGCAACTCAGTTAGTTATGAGAAAGTTATTCTTGTTGGCGAGGCTCCCTGTGTGTTGTCATCATTTGATGGTGCGCCAGTCTATCAATCTCTCCAGTGTTGGGTCCTGTGTTGGGTCCAGGACGGTTGGCCTCGGGGGCGGTGTGGTCACCTGCTAATGAGAGTGGCCAGTAGGGGGAGCAGTGCTGCTGTGAGGGGGGCAGATAGGCCTGCTGCTCTTCCACACTCCATGGCATTCTCCTGCATCAGACACAGGGGGCATCACAGGAGTTTCAGACCTTAGAAATTAATTAATACATACACTATATATTTATATGGTTCAGACAATATACAGATGGTCACATATATGCTTAATGTCACATTATTAAACACTCAAACAGGCATTCATGTACTTTTTGTGTAATCACAGAATTGTGACGCAGACGCACACACACATCTACATACTGCGTACCTCGGGATGGAAAGGATGACACGATTCTGGCCGCTTTCTGTCCTTCTGAAACTTCAGCCTATCACATTTCAGAGACTCATTGTGTGCAGAGGGGTTAAGGATAGAAATACTGATGATGAAGCAAACCTCAGATACCTCAGATACATTTAACTGACACTGTGGTGACCATTTCTGCAACATCATTCTAGCATGATGAGAAAACAAAAACCATAACGCACGCTTCATAAATACCTACATGTATGAGAAATGTATTAATACCTCTGACAATGAAAAAGGTTGTTCACGTTCTCAGAAAACAAAAGTTCAGAGTTCACTTACAGTTAACTTACAAAACCCATCTACTAAACATTTACTTACAAAATATTTCTACAAAAAAATACTCACAAAAGCTTTGTACTAAAAATACACTCAAACTCCTCAAACGTATTGAGGCTTAGTAAAGGATATACATAATCTCGATGGGATCCATGGAAACCAGGGGGGCAGAACTGCAGTCACACTTGTTGTCCACGACGACCATGAAGAGGTTACTACTAGGAATTTGCTGAATTACAAAAGATCTGAGGAGGGAGAGAGAGACGGAATGAAAGACAGAAAGAGAGAGACAAAAAGCGAGAGAGAGAGAGAAATAAAGAGAGAGTTGCGTTGATTCAGTTGATGCTTTTAATATTACTACACTAATGCATGAAATTACCCTGTATAGTGTATACACCATCAACACACAGGCTAAGTGAGTTTATCAGTGCCTAAGATACAGGTAAGGTAACTGTTACCAGTACCTGGCACAGCCCTCACAGTCGATGTTTCCCGTGGTCTCTTTGATGGTGCGCTCAGAGACGAAGGCAGGGTACTCCGTGTCACATGGCACCATCATGGTCTTTCCCCTCGATCTTTGGGCTGGAAATGGGATATGTAAATCTTAACATACTAAAAACACGCAAGACTCACACACACACATGCATGTGTGCAAGCACCCACAGACATAGACACGCACGCACCTACAGACACACACACACCTCAAGGTATGTTCTTGCACATACTGACCTTTGACTGAGAGATCAACATGCCACCAGCTGTAAAGGTTGAACTCCAGCAGGAAACTGATGAGGATAACACGAACATACATTTATACAATAATATGTACTGTGGTTGATAATCAATGCATCTCATTATTTTATCGTTTCAAGGTGATTCTTTTATTATTCTCACATGACAAGTTCGGTCAGGAGCCATTTCACAATGGAGAAGGGCTGGGAGAGAAGAAATTAAATAATTAGCATTGACTGGATGTATGTAAGTCTGATGAGTAGTTTTGGGACATGTGATAATATTTAGGAACAGTACTTACATGTGATACTATTTAGGGACAGTACTTACATGTGATAGTATTTAGGGGCAGTTCTTACATGTGATAGTATTTAGGGGCAGTTCTTACATGTGATACTATTTAGGGGCAGTACTTACATGTGATAGTATTTAGGGGCAGTTCTTACATGTGATACTATTTAGGGGCAATACTTACATGTGATAGTATTTACATTTACGTCATTTAGCAGACACTCTTATCCAAAGCGACTTACAGTTAGTGAGTGCATACATTTTTTTTCATACTGGCCCCCCGTGGGAATCGAACCCACAACCCTGGCGTTGCAAGCGCTATGCTCTACCAACTGAGCTACACCGGACCTATTTAGGGGCAGTACTTACATGTGATACAATTTAGGGGCAGTACTTACATGTGATAATATTTAGGGGCAGTACTTACATGTGATAATATTTAGGGACAGTACTTACATGTGATACTATTTAGGGACAGTACTTACATGTGATACTATTTAGGGGCAGTACTTACATGTGATACAATTTAGGGGCAGTACTTACATGTGATACTATTTAGGGGCAGTACTTACATGTGATACTATTTAGGGACAGTGCTTACATGTGATACTATTTAGGGGCAGTACTTACATGTGATACTATTTAGGGGCAGTACCTACATGTGATACTATTTAGGGGCAGTGCTTACATGTGATACTATTTAGGGGCAGTACCTACATGTGATACTATTTAGGGGCAGTACTTACATGTGATAAAGAGCAGGAGCTGTCACTGCTGCCAGCATACTCTCTACAGAGAGCCTGGTAGTCATACAGAGTGATCCTAGAGAGAGGAGACAATAGACCATTCTCAGTGTGTGTGTGTGTGTGTGTGTGTGTTCAGGGTACGACTGTAACAGGATTTCTCCTCTAACCTTTTGAAGGAGCCCATGAGAAGCAGCTTGTTCATAACAGCACCCTCCACCTCACCAAAGAACAGCCCAGTCTGAGGAAGAAGATGTTTATTTAAAGGCAAATACTAGGAGCCAGGGGAGCTACGGGACACACACACACACACACACACACACACACACACGTGTCTATTATATTATTAATGGTACCTGAGAGTAGTCCTCTGTGACCAGAATAAATCCGTTGTTGTCTATAAGGTAACACTTGATGTCCTGTTAGAAATACAGATCAATCTTCAAGGCATGACATAATTTAGTAATTCAATACTGAGAGGAAACAGAGAAAGGTCACAGACAGTACAGACAGGAAGTAGAAAAGCTGAGACACAGACCAGAGGCTAAGAAACAGGAAGTAGCATGAGACAGTGACAGACAGGTACTGTCTGGTCTTACCTCATTATCACAGCTTATGGTGCACTTCCCATCCAGAGCAGCACACTGGATCGAATCAATAAGATGAATCAATTATTAGAATAATCAATAAAGCATGTCTCACAGCACTGGATATTGTTTATGTGTATGTGTGTGTGTGTGTGTGTGTGTGTGTGTGTGTGTGTGTGTGTGTGTGTGTGTGTGTGTGTGTGTGTGTGTGTGTTGTGTGTTTGTGTGTGTTTGTCTACCTGTCTGCTAGCGGTCCAGAACTTCCTCTGAAAGAAATCCAGCTTCATCTGAATCCCAACGGCTATAGTGAATTTAACAAAAACACAAACAGAACACAGTCAGCACACTGTAGATCTAGAAGAGGAATTACAAATGTATTAAAGAGTTTCTTCACACGTCTTCAAAGGGGGCTTTATATCGAAAACATTACAGTTAGAAGCCTGTAACAGGTACAGTAGCTCTCTATGTTAGGGGCATTATACACTATTCTAGGGAGACTTCTAGGGAGAAGTTAAGGTTTTTTCAGGGAGCTTACAAGCAACAATAGGCGACTTCCTGTCATCCAGCAGCTGTATGGCGGTGCTGGCCAAAACCACACTCTTATTCTTATTTCCTGGAGAAAAACAGGAACACAGAGCACAGACATTAGCCTCAATCAACAAATGTTGTGTAAGGAAAATAACAATTTCTACTATTTCAATAGATCTTATAAAATACACTATATATTCCATTCCACCCTCAGCACCTCTGCATAATCACAGCAGGAAAACCAAGTCACAGAAATAAAAGAGAAAACACCTTTTCTAACCAAAAGATGGCGCCATACCAACAGCTTTCAGCAGGCAATCGCAACCCACAGTACCACACTCAGTGATGGAATTCCATCAGTACGCTACAACCAGGATGTTTGAAATTATTCTGACACAGAGAGAGTGATGTGTTCTGTGGAAAAAACAGTTCTGGTAATAGCACTACAGAACCTCTGGGGACAGGGATTGTTGGAGGAGGTTATAGTATTAAACAGCGGAGGTGGGAGTAAAGGAGGGACATTAAACAACAGACTAAGAGATAAGAGCAGTTAGAGGAAGGTAGAGGCTGGTAGACAACAGGGAACAACAGTATGATCCTGATCCTCTCCTTCCCTCAGTGGGAAGAAAGTGGGGCACATTAATTACATTCATTACAGTGAGAGAGATGAGCTATACAGTACACCCTAGCCTCTTCGCTCAGTGAGACTTGTACACATTAATCCGTCACTGCAGGCGACATCCCATACCCTGAAAACATATTTACCAGCCCTCTGATTTACCTATTTCCGGGAAACCTTTCCCGTCACAAGGCAAATATATAACACGGAATGCCTTACCGATCAGAGCGGGCTATACAATGTGTGAACTATGGTAAAAATAAACATTTAAATCAAAATTTTCCAAAGTTCACTCCCTAGTCCCCATACTCCATAGTAGCTGCCATGCAAGATTACCGTGTGATCTCAGATGGAAACTAACCTTTAGGGTGATATGGTGTGAATTCGGTAAACTCTGGAAAAGTTGGATTTAAACGTTTATTTTCACAGAGTGTATAGCCCGTACAAACTGGTAAGGCATTCCGGATTATAGATTTGCCTTCGGTGACAGGAAAAGTTGATCAGAAATAGATAAACCAGAGGGCTGGTAAATATGTTTTTGGGGTACGGGATGTTGCCTTCAGCGACGGGAGACCAGATTAATGTGTGCAGGTCTCCCGGAATGAAGAGGCTGAGTACACCCTATATCAGAGACACAGATACACAGAATCTCCACGGTAACCCACAGAGATACAGTACACAGGGTTAACTAAAGAGATCTATTGAGTGGGGTGTGGGGAAAATAAGCTGCAGATGACACTCAATTACAAGTTAGGGAGAGTGAGCTACTGTATATTAGAAAAACTGTATATTGATTAAAGTAAAATGAAGTAGTATTTCAAAGACAACATAATACAAATACAGTGCAAGTAAATGATGAAGGTGTAACACCTTGTGTTGGGTGTGGGGATTCTGGATATAGAGTAAAGGTACATTTTGTGTAAGTGTCTCCATACCTCCAAAGGGGATAGAGTAGACGAAGGTGCCGGGAACCTGCTCCGCTGCTCTCTTGTACCACAGAGGGAAGTGGTCAGCGTTGAACACCCCCTCCTTATCCTCCGCCATCAGGAAGTCTCTAATGAGACACAGGAAGACATGGAGGAGTCAGAAGAGAAACTTCAAGTCACTGCTGAAACTTCAAGTCACTGGTTAAACTACAAGTCACTGGTGAAACTACAAGTCACTACTGAAACTACAAGTCACTACTGAAACTAAACTCACTGTTACATTGCTTTGTCTCAGTTGTTGCACTGATTGGCCAGATGCTCAGTATCATACTCACTGATTGGATAGGTGCTCTGGGACAACAAACAGGTTGGTTCTAGAGAGGCCAGTGCGTGTGCCTAGGTAAGCAATCTCCACTCCTTTGTCTGAATTCCTGTTGCGGTGATTGAAACAAACAAACAAAAAATGAAAACAAACACATTAATCACAATATCACAGAGTAGAGAGAACTGTGGGAAGAGGCTGACTACACAGGTGATGAAAGCAGAGATACATAGTGACACTTTGATGGAGTTGATGTTCATAACTATTTGTAACTATGACCAACCTGGCAATTTATAAAGTATCATCCTGTGAGAGAGCAACAGAGGGAGGTATGTTGCATAAAGGCGTTGAGGAGGAGTTAGTAGGCTAGACTCACTCTGACTTGTTGAGGGCCAGGCCGGTCCAGTAGGCCTCCAGTGGGGCTGTGACCACAGCATCAAACAACACCTCCTGGATCAGCTCCCTGTCACCTACGGCAGAGAGGGAGTGGTTCAGTCCTGGAAACACACTACCAAGTCCTCTACAGACAGGACATAGAATATAAGGCTAGGGTTAGGGTTGGGGTTGCAGCTAGGGTTAGGGTTAAGGCAAGGTTATATGATTTCCCAGGATATATAATGAAACCCCAGTAGCCTATAGATCCCAGTGTGGTGTAACTTACATTTGATGTTTGTCTTGCGTCCGGTCAGGTAGAGTTTAATGGCCTGGATCTGGGAGAGGGAGCGGTGCTCATGGTGCTCGTCTGTGTTGCAATACGTCCTGTCAAATGAATAGGTAGACGCACACACAAAACACTTGATGTCACGCCCTGACCTTAGAGATCACCTGTATTCTCTGTTTGGTTAGGTCAGGGTGTGATTTGGATACATTCTAGTGTATCTATTTCTATGTTTGGCCGGGTGTGGTGCCCAATCAGAGGCAGCTGTCGATCGTTGTCTCTGATTGGGGATCATACATAGGCAGCCATTTTGCCTACCTATGTTGTGGGATCTTGTTTCTAGTACTGTTTGGCTTGTTGTATGTGTAGCCTCTTGAACTTCACGTTCTGTTGGATTTTGTTATTATGTCGGTGTTTATTAGAATAAACGACTATGTGCGCATACCACGCTGCACCTTGGTCCAATCCTTTATACAACGAACGTGACAGAAGATCCCACCAGTAACGGACCAAGCAGCGAGGCCAGGAGGAGCAGACACCCTGGACACAGGTGGGGAAGACATTTTGGACATGGGAGGAGATATTAGCCTGTAAAGGACCCTGGGCGAAGGAGGAAGCCCAGGCAGGAGTGGATCAACGGCGACGCCGACAGTGCCGGCCGCAAAGGAAGCACGAGAAGCAGCCCCAAGAAACATTTTTGGGGGGGGCACACGGAGCAGAAGGAGGCCCTGAAAGGGCTGACTGTGGAGGAAGAGGAGGCCGCCATTATAGAGGCCCTCCAAGACATGCAGCTCAGCACTCTGAGAGAGGAGATAACTACCTTACGGGGGCTGTTAGCTAAGAGAGAGCAGGAGAGCTCCCTCCAGAGGGAGGCGCTGCAGGAGGCCCACAGGGAGAAGGAGTCAGTGGATGCACGGAGAGAGGAGCTGGCCAGACAACAGGAGGAGCTGAGAGAGGAGTTAACCCTCCAGCAGCAGAGAGCTCAGTCCTTAGACCAGAGGCTGGTGGAGCCAGATTTCAGAAGAGAGCCAACTCCCTGCACTCGCTTTGAGGAGCGTGTGACCGTGCAAGCACCAGGCTATGCGCCGGATTTACGCACTGTGCCACCAGTGCGCCTTCACAGACCGGTACGGCCCGTGCCTGCTCCTCGCAACCAAACCAGTGGTGCGTATCGCCAGCCCGGTACGCCCGTACCTGCTCCTCGCACCAAACCAGTGGTGCGTGTCGCCAGCCCAGTGCGCCCCGTACCTGCTCCTCGCACCAAACCAGCGGTGCGTGTCCACAGCCCAGTGCATCATGGGCCAGCGCCCCGCACCAGTGATGATCCATGGCCCGAAGCCTCCAGTGATGATCCATGGCACGAAGCCTCCAGTGATGATCCATGGCACGAAGGCTCCAGTGATGGTCCATGGCCCGGAGCCTCCTGCGATGGTCTGCAGTCCAGAGCCTCCTGCGATGGTCTGCAGTCCAGAGTCTTCAGCTCCGGTCAGCTGCTTTAATCCAGTGCCAGAGCAGTCCTCTCCACCGGATCCTAGTCCAGCTCCGGTCAGCTGCTCCACTCCTGTGCCAGAGCAGTCCACTCCACCGGAGCCAAGTCCAGCTCCGGTCAGCTGCTTCACTCCAGAGCCAGAGCAGTCCGCTCCACCAGTGCCTAGTCCAGCTCCGGTTATCTGCTCCCTACCAGAGCCGGGGCAGTCCACTTCACCGGTGCCCAGTCCGGGTCCGGTCGTCTACTCTTCCCCCATGCCGGAGCCATCCGCTCCACCGGGGTCCGAGCCGGAGCCAGACGTCAACCCCTCTCCAGGGTCGGGGTCTCCCACACCAGGGTCCAGACAGGACTTGGTGCATCGCGGGAGGACTGCTGGGCCGGGACCAGATGTCAGCCCCTCTCCAGGGTTGAGGGCTCCCACACCAGGGTCCAGACAGGACTTGGTGCATCGCGGGAGGACTGCTGGGCTGGGACCAGACGTCAGCCCCTCTCCAGGATCGAGGGCTCCTACACCAGGGTCCAGACAGGACTTGGTGCATTGCGGGAGGACTGCTGGGCCGGGGCCAGATGTCAGCCCCTCTCCAGGGTTGAGGGCTCCCACACCAGGGTCCAGACAGGACTTGGTGCATCGCGGGAGGACTGCTGGGCTGGGACCAGACGTCAGCCCCTCTCCAGGGTCGAGGGCTCCTACACCAGGGTCCAGACAGGACTTGGTGCATCGCGGGAGGACTGCTGGGCCGGGGCCAGACGTCAGCCCCTCTCCAGGGTCGAGGGCTCCCACACCAGGGTCCAGACAGGACTTGGTGCATTGTGGGAGGACTGAGAGGGGGAGCATCGCGCCGGGGTCCAGACTGGACCGGGCGTGCAAAGGAGAGGCAGGATGGGAGAAGAGTTTACTGCCTACGTCACGTCCGAAGCCGGAGCCGGAGCCGCCACCGAGGCTAGATGCCCACCCCCGGACCCTCCCCTAATAAGTCAGGTTTTTGCGGCCGGAGTCTGCACCTCCTTGGGGGGGGGGGGGGGTACTGTCACGCCCTGACCTTAGACATCACCTTTATTCTCTGTTTGGTTAGGTCAGGGTGTGATTTGGATACATTCTAGTGTATCTATTTCTATGTTGGCCGGGTGTGGTGCCCAATCAGAGGCAGATGTCGATCGTTGTCTCTGATTGGGGATCATACATAGGCAGCCATTTTGCCTACCTATGTTGTGGGATCTTGTTTCTAGTACTGTTTGGCTTGTTGTATGTGTAGCCTCTTGAACTTCACGTTCTGTTGGATTTTGTTATTATGTCGGTATTTATTAGAATAAACGACTATGTACGCATACCACGATGCACCTTGGTCCAATTCTTTATACAATGAACGTGACACTTGAGGAGCTGACCAACAAAAACTAAACTAAATAACAGAAAGAAAAATATAGAAAGTCACACTCTATACTCCCAACTCCCAACTATTTCAGGCAAAGCGCCAATGTTTCAGCGTTTCAGCTGAACAGAACAGTACATAACAGATGACCTGCTGTTATATCACATGGCTCAACATAACATACTTACTAAGACATACAGGGTGCATTCATATAAATTCACTCGGGCTATCTACTCTGATTTCAGAGCACTCTTGACTGAGTGTGCCAGAGCGCAGCGCAGAATAACTGAAGAATTTACGAATGCGCAACAAATATTGAATATGACCGGTTGTCAGTAAACATCGGCAAATAAACTGCTAATTAAATTGTTGCCAGCAGCACAGTTACAGTCACCAACGCTCTAGATAACATGAAAACAGCCTGACCAACTCTGCTTGGGCGAGTAAAATGGTCAGAGTGCGGTGTTCTCTCATTTGTGTCTGGAAGTAGCTAGCTAGCAAGCTAGCCTACTTTAGCCAGTTAGCTTGGGTGCTTGACTGCCGCTGTTAGGTCAGAACGCTCGGATCAACCCTACTCCTCGGCTAGAGCGTCCAGTGTGCGCTCTGAACACTCCGAGAGCGAAATGCTCTGAATTTTACGAACGGACAATCTGACAACGCTTTGAATTTACAAACGGCCAGAGTGCACTCTGAGCGCACTCTGGCACTCCAGAGTGAATTTACAAACACACCCACAGAAAGCAGTAACCTATATAATGCTTGACTGACCAAGCCCAAGCTCATAACCCCCTATATTACCCATAACCCCCTGCATTACCATTCATCTGCCAGCGCAACATCTGGCTGTTCCAGGTCAAGGAGCCCTGCAAAACACATGAACATCAGATCAGTGACGCTTCAACAGGGCCAGGCTGAGTGCACTGATATATGGCCTTAAGAACAGGCAGACCACAGGTACAGAATACCCATAAACTTCTATGAAACTGATGAAGATCTCATAGTTCGTTGAGTGAGTGAGTGGGAGAATGAAGGAATGAATGTATGATAGGAGTAAAGTGACTCTTACCTGCTTCCACTGAGACGTTTCCCCTGAAGAAGAATTTGCCATGGCCTCTGGACAAAGCTACTCCGACACTGAACACAGAATCACACGGCAGGGTGAGGAGCAGAGATAAGTCAACAGTTACACTCTTAGGGATGGTTTCCCGAACACAGAATAAGCCTAGTCCTGGATGAAAAAGAATGTTCAGTGGGAATTCTCCATTGATACTGCTTTTCAGTTTAGGACTAGGCCACAGGAGGTTGGTGGCACCATAATTGGGGAGAACGGGCTTGTGGTATTGGCTAGAGCGGAATAGGTGGAATGGTATCAAATACATAAACACAAGGTTTCCATGTGTTTGATGCCATTCCATTTGCCCCGTTCCAGACATTATTATGAGCCGTCCTCCCCTCAGCAGCCTCCACTGGACTAGGCGTTATCTATGTCTGGAAAATGGGCCCACAGAGACACATGGCACTTACACACTCACTGAACCAGCCATCATGTCAACTTTCAGAAGGACATCAGAGAATTGATCAAGATAAATGGATAAATCAATAAATGTGCTGAAAAACTAAAGAAGCGTGTGTACCCTACTCTCAAAGCATCTCCCCTCACCTGAAGGGAGTTCCCTTGACTTCAGTGTAGAAGTAGTCATTGTGCATCTTCAGGAGTCTTTTCTGAAAACATAAAGAAAAGCATGGAGAATGAGGACTCATCCAGTGGATCTCATTAAAAGTCAATGTCCGTATAATTAGCATAATAAAAACAACCCCATTAAAAATCTGTCTGATTAAGCTAGAGATGTCTGTTTTGCATGGGCTGCGCCTCAATCCACCGCATCCGCCGATGTCGGCCTTCCGAATCTGCGGTGGAAGGAGGCAGAGCTACAGAGGTGTTTGTCAGACTAGGAGACATACCGCAAATCGGTCTTCTCACGAAAATGTCTGTAGCGTCCGAACGGTTTGGCCTACAAACTCTAAGGAAAGATGAGATTCTCACAATCACGATGGTGTTCTCCGTTTTGCTCTACGACCCCCACAAGTGTCAGTCGGTACCACCGATCTGCCAAATTCTGTCTGTAGCGTCTGAACAGTTTAGCCTACAAACTAATACAGGGTTTTCCAAAGTCGGTCCTCGGGACCCCAAGGGGTGCACGTTTTGTTTTTTGCCCTAGCAATACACAGCTGATTCAAATAATTAACTAATTATCATGCTTTGATAATTTGAATTAGCTGTGTAGTGTTAGGGAAAAGAAAGAAAAAAACGTGCACCCTTTTGGGTCCCGAGGACCAAGTTTGGGAAACTCTGCACTAATATGACCTCACCATCGAAAGGTGAGACTATCACGAACACGTATATGTTTGTTGTTTTGCTCTAGGACGCCCACCACACAAGCCACACAAGCCTCGTCTGAAGGTAGCCCGGTACCAGTATAAAAAATTAATGGAAGTACAGTTGAAGTCGGAAATGTACATACACTTAGTCATTAAAACTAGTTTTTCAACCACTCCACAAATTTCTTGGTAACAAACTATAGTTTTAGCAAGTTGGTTAGGACATCTACTTTGTGCAAGACACAAGTAATTTTTCCAACAATTGTTTACAGACAGATTATTTCACTTATAATTCACTGTTTCACAATTCCATTGGGTCAGAAGTTTACATACACTAAGTTGACTGTGCCTTTAAACAGCTTGGAAAATTCCAGAAAATGATGTCATGGCTTTAGAAGCTTCTGATAGGCTAATCATTTGAGTCAATTGGAGGTGTACCTGTGGATGTATTTCAAGGCCTACCTTCAAACTCAGTGCCTCTTTGCTTGACATCATGGGAAAATCAAAAGAAATCAGCCAAGACCTCAGAAAAATAATTGTATACCTCCACAAGTCAGGTTCATCCTTGGGAGCAATTTCCAAACCCCTGAAGGTACCACGTTAATCTGTACAAACAATAGTATGCAAGTATAACCGCCATACCGCTCAGGAAGGAGACGCGTTCTGTCTCCTAGAGATGAACGTACTTTGGTGCGAAAAGTGCAAATCAATCCCAGAACAACAGCAAAGGACCTTGTGAAGATGCTGGAGGAAACAGGTACAAAAGTATCTATATCCACAGTAAAACAAGTCCTACAGTTGAAGTCGGAGGTTTACATACACCTTAGCCAAATACATTTAAACTCAGTTTTTCCACAATTCCTGACATTTAATCCTAGTAAACATTCCCTGTATTAGGTCAGTTAGGATCACCACTTTATTTTAAGAATGTGAAATGTCAGAATAATAGTAGAGAGAATTATTTATTTCAGCTTTTATTTCTTTCATTACATTCCCAGTGGGTCAGAAGTTTACATACACTCAATTATAATTTGGTAGCATTGCCTTTAAATTATTTAACTTGGGTCAAACGTTTCAGGTAGCCTTCCACAAGCTTCCCACAATAAATTGGGTGAATTTTGGCCCATTCCTCCTGACAGAGCTGGTGTAACTGAGTCAGGTTTGTAGGCCTCCTTGCTCGCACACGCTTTTTCAGTTCTGCCCACACATTTTCTATAGGATTGAGGTCAGGGCTTTGTGATGGCCACTCCAATACCTTGACTTTGTTGTCCTTAAGCCATTTTGCCACAACTTTGGAAGTATGCTTGGGGTCATTGTCCATTTGGAAAACCCATTTGCGACCAAGCTTTAACTTCCTGACTGATGTCTTGAGATGTTGCTTCAATATATCCACATAATTTTCCTTCCTCATGATGCCATCTATTTTGTGAAATGCACCAGTCCCTCCTGCAGCAAAGCACCCCCACAGCATGATGCTGCCACCCCTGTGCTTCACGGTTGGGATGGTGTTCTTCGGCTTGCAAGCAACCCCCTTTTTCCTCTAAACATAACGATGGTCATTATGGCCAAACAGTTCTATTTTTGTTTCGTCAGACCAGAGGACTTTCTCCGAAAAGTACGATATTTGTCCCAATGTGTGAGTCCCACTTGCAATGCCAGCGTTGTGGGTTCGATTCCCACGGGGGACAGTATGAAAATGTATGCACTCACTAACTGTAAGTCGCTCTGGATAAGAGTGTCTGCTAAATGACTAAAAGGTAAAATGTAATGTGCAGTTGCAAACCGTAGTCTGGCTTTTTTATGGTGGTTTGGAGCAGTGGCTTCTTCCTTGCTGAGCGGCCTTTCAGGTTATGTCGATATAGGACTCGTTTTACTGTGGATATAGATACTTTTGTAGCTGTTTCCTCCAGCATCTTCACAAGGTCCTTTGCTGTTGTTCTGGGATTGATTTGCACTTTTCGCACCAAAGTACGTTCATCTCTAGGAGACAGAACGTGTCTCCTTCCTGAGCGGTATGACGGCTGCGTGGTCCCATGGTGTTTATACTTGCGTACTATTGTTTGTACAGATGAACGTGGTACCTTAAGGCGTTTGGAAATTGCTCCCAAGGATGAACCAGACCAAATCTGAGGTCTTGGCTGATTTCTTTTGATTTTCCCATGATGTCAAGCAAAGAGGCACTGAGTTTGAAGGTAGGCCTCGAAATACATCCACAGGTACTCCTCCAATTGACTCAAATTATGTCAATTAGCCTATCAGAAGCTTCTAAAGCCATGACATCATGTTCTGGAATTTTCCAAGCTGTTTAAAGGCACAGTCAACTTAAGTGTATGTAAACTTCTGACCCACTGGAATTGTGATACAGTGAATTATAAGTGAAATAATCTGTCTGTAAAAAATTGTTGGAAAATGTACTTGTGTCATTCACAAAGTAGATGTCCTAACCGACTTGCCAAAACTATAGTTTGTTAACAAGACATTTGTGGAGAGGTTGAAAAACAAGTTTTAATGACTCCAACCTACAGTGGGGAGAACAAGTATTTGATACACTGCCGATTTTGCAGGTTTTACTACTTACAAAGCATGTAGAGGTCTGTAATTTTTTATCATAGATACACTTCAACTGTGAGAGACGGAATCTAAAACAAAAATCCAGAAAATCACATTGTATGATTTTTAAGTATTTGATACATCAGAAAAGCAGAACTAAATATTTGGTACAGAAACCTTTGTTTGCAATTACAGAGATCATACATTTCCTGTAGGTCTTGACCAGATTTGCACACACTGCAGCAGGGATTTTGGCCCACTCCTCCATACAGACCTTCTCCAGATCCTTCAGGTTTCGGGGCTGTCGCTGGGACAATACGGACTTTCAGCTCCCTCCAAAGATGTTCTATTGGGTTCAGGTCTGGAGACTGGCTATGCTACTCCAGGATCTTGAGATGCTTCTTACGGAGCCACTCCTTAGTTGCCCTGGCTGTGTGTTTCGGGTCGTTGTCATGCTGGAAGACCCAGCCACGATCCATCTTCAATGCTTTTACTGAGGGAAGGAGGTTGTTGGCCAAGATCTCGCGATACATGGCCCCATCCATCCTCCCCTCAATACGGTGCAGTCGTCCTGTCCCCTTTGCAGAAAAGCATCCCCAAAGAATGATGTTTCCACCTCCATGCTTCACGGTTGGGATGGTGTTCTTGGGGTTGTACTCATCCTTCTTCTTCCTCCAAACACAGCGAGTGGAGTTTAGACCAAAAAGCTATATTTTTGTCTCATCAGACCACATGACCTTCTCCCATTCCTCCTCTGGATCATCCAGATGGTCATTGGCAAACTTCAGACGGGCCTGGACATGCGCTGGCTTGAGCAGGGGGACCTTGCGTGCGCTGCAGGATTTTAATCCATGACGGCGTAGTGTGTTACTAATGGTTTTCTTTGAGACTGTGGTCCCAGCTCTCTTCAGGTCATTGACCAGGTCCTGCCGTGTAGTTCTGGGCTGATCCCTCACCTTCCTCATGATCATTGATGCCCCACGAGGTGAGATCTTGCATGGAGCCCCAGACCGAGGGTGATTGACTGTCATCTTGAACTTCTTCCATTTTCTAATAATTGCGCCAACAGTTTGTTGCCTTCTCACCAAGCTGCTTGCCTATTGTCCTGTAGCCCATCCCAGCCTTGTGCAGGTCTACAATTGTATCCCTGATGTCCTTACACAGCTCTCTGGTCTTGGCCATTGTGGAGAGGTTGGAGTCTGTTTGATTGAGTGTGTGGACAGGTGTCTTTTATACAGGTAACGTGTTCAAACAGGTGCAGTTAATACAGGTAATGAGTGGAGAACAGGAGGGCTTCTTAAAGAAAAACTAACAGGTCTGTGAGAGCCGGAATTCTTACTGGTTGGTAGGTGATCAAATACTTATGTCATGCAATAAAATGCAAATTAATTACTTAAAAATCATACAATGTGATTTTCTGGATTTTTGTTTTAGATTCCGTCTCTCACAGTTGAAGTGTACCTATGATAAAAATTAAAGACCTCTACATGCTTTGTAAGTAGGAAAACCTGCAAAATCTGCAGTGTATCAAATACTTGTTCTCCCCTCTGTAAGTGTATGTAAACTTCCGACTTCAACTGTACATTGACATAACCTGAAATGCCGCTCATCAAGGAAGAAGCCACTGCTCCAAAACCACCATAAAAAAGCCAAACTACGTTTTGCAACTGCACATGGGGACAAAGATCGTACTTTTTTGAGAAATGTCCTCTGGTCTGATGAAAGAAATATAACTGTTTGGCCATAATGACCATCGTTATGTTTGGAGGAAAAAGGGGGTTGCTTGCAAGCCCAAGAACACCATCCCAAACGTGAAGCACGGGGGTGGCAGCATCATGCTCTGGGGGTGCTTTGCTGCAGGAGGGACTGGTGCACTTCACAAAATAGATGGCATCATGAGGAAGGAAAATTATGTGGATATATTGAAGCAACATCTCAAGACATCAGTCAGGAAGTTAAAGCTTGGTCGCAAATGGATCTTCCAAATGGACAATGACCCCAAGCATACTTCTAACGTTGTGGCAAAATGGCTTAAGGACAACAAAGTCAAGGTATTGGAGTGGCCATCACAAAGCCCTGACCTAAATTCTATAGAAAATGTGTGGGCAGAACTGAAAAAGCGTGTGCGAACAAGGAGGCCTACAAACCTGACTCAGTTACACCAGCTCTGTCAGGAGGAATGAGCCAAAATTCACCCAACTTATTGTGGGAAGCTTGTGGAAGGCTACCCGACTCGTTTGACCCAAGTTAAACAATTTAGAGGCAATGCTACCAAATACTAATTGAGTGTATGTAAACTTCTTACCCACTGGGAATGTGATGAAAGAAATAAAAGCTGAAATAAATAATTCTCTCTACTGTTACTCTGACATTTCACATTCTTAAAATAAAGTGGTGATCCTAACTGACCTAAGACAGGGAATTTTTACTAGGATTAAATGTCAGGAATTGTGAAAAACTGAGTTTAAATGTATTTGGCTAAGGAGTATGTAAACTTCCGACTTCAACTGTATATATGTAAGTAGTTTAGCGCCCAAAAAAAAGGGTTAAATATGGGTAGAAAGAATATTTACAAAGATTTCCTGAGCTTTCTTATTTCTCTTAGATATAGGACAGACACTTCAAAACATACTTCCCTTTGATGTATTTATTTATCTGTTTTGCCATATATGAAAATGTTATTCAATGTGTTTCTATGGGGTAATAGCAGTAAGGCCAAATTCAATGTTTATGTATAACTTTTTTAGTAACTTATTTTTTCGGGGTCCTAAAATTCTAAATCAAATAGCTAAATGGGGCGGCAGGTAGCTTAGTGGTTAAGAGCGTTGTGCCAGTAACCGAAAGGTCGCTGGTTCTAATCCCCGAGCAGACTAGGTGAAAAATCTGTCCATGTGCCCTTGAGCAAGGCACTTAACCCTAATTGCTCTTGTAAGTCGCTCTGGATAAGAGTGTCTGCTAAATGACTAAAATGTAAATGATCCTTGGTATGCCCTTCTTAAAACAATTCCATATGTTAACCCATCCCCGCGCCCTTAGACCTTAGGGGGTTCAAAAGAAGAGTGTCATCGTTTCTTTAATTGTCAGAGTCATAATAAAATCTTCAGTCTCACCCCTTTGTCCACTGTCTTCTTCACCTCCATGGAGAATGTCCCAGTCTTCCTGTTGACCATGGCATTACGCAGCTGAAACATAAGAACAGGATATTTATCAAGATGCAAGGACTGCATGCTGTCTGAGAGTATACAGCTCCCCAGGACTCCCTGGAAAGCAGTGGCAATTCTTACTGAGTGGACTTTCCAGGTTAAATAAACAAAATCTAATTACAAGGATACTTCAGGATTTTGTCAGTGAAGCCCTTTATCTCCGTCTCTGCGTGCAGTTTGAAGGAAGTTGTTAACTAGTGTTAGTGCAATTGCTAACTAGCGTTAGCACGCTAGTGGATACAGTGAGGGAAGAAAGTATTTGATCCCCTGCTGATTTTGTACGTTTGCCCACTGACAAAGAAATGATCAGTCTATAATTTTAATGGTGGGTTTATTTGAACAGTGAGAGACAGAATAACAACAAAAATATCCAGAAAAACGCATGTCAAAAATGTTATAAATTGATTTGCATTTTAATGAGGTATATTTATAAAGGTAACGAGCTGAGATTAGGAGCACTCTTAAAGGGAGTGCTCCTAATCTTAGATTGTTACCTGTATAAAAGACACCTGTCCACAGAAGCAATCAATCAATAAGATTCCAAACTCTCCACCATGGCCAAGACCAAAGAGCTCTCCAAGGATGTCAGGGACAAGATTGTAGACCTACACAAGGCTGGAATGGGCTACAAGACCATCGCCAAGCAGCTTGGTGAGAAGGTGACAACAGTAGGTGCGATTATTCGCAAATGGAAGATACACAAAATAACTGTCAATCTCCCTCGGCCTGGGGCTCCATGCAAGATCTCATCTCGTGGAGTTGCAATGATCATGAGGAACGGTGAGGAATCAGCCCAGAACTACACGGGAGGATCTTGTCAATGATCTCAAGGCAGCTGGGACCATAGTCACCAAGAAAACAATTGGTAACATACTACGCCGTGAAGGACTGAAATCCTGCAGCACCCGCAAGGCCCCCCTGCTCAAGAAAGCACATATACAGGGCCATCTGAAGTTTGCCAATGAACATCTGAATGATTCAGAGGAGAACTGGGTGAAAGTGTTGTGGTCAGATGAGACCAAAATCGAGCTCTTTGGCATCAACTCAACTCGCTGTGTTTGGAGGAGGAGGAATGCTGCCTATGATCCCAAGAACACCATCCCCACCGTCAAACATGGAGGTGGAAACATTATGCTTTGGGGGTGTTTTCTGCTAAGGGGACAGGACAACTTCACTGCATCAAAGGGACGATGGACGGGGCCATGTACCGTCAAATCTTGGGTGAGAACATCCTTCCCTCAGCCAGGGCATTGAAAATGGGTCGTGGATTGGTATTCCAGCATGACAATGACCCAAAACACACGGCCAAGGCAACAAAGGAGTGGCTCAAGAAGAAGCACATTAAGGTCCTGGAGTGGCCTAGCCAGTCTCCAGACCTTAATCCCATTGAAAATCTGTGGAGGAGCTGAAGGTTCGAGTTGCCAAACGTCAGCCTCTAAACCTTAATGACTTGGAGAAGATCTGCAAAGAGGAGTGTGTCACGATCGTTTATGGACGAGACGGACCAAGGCGCAGCGTGATAAGCGTACATTTTACTACGTACTTAACTCACGACAAAACAACAAACAAACGAAACTTGAAGTCCTAGGTTACACAAAACAAACCTTAACGGAACAAGATCCCACACCGACTAGTGCCAAACAGGCTGCCTAAGTATGGTCCCCAATCAGAGACAACGAGATACAGCGGCCAACATAGATCAACACGATCTAGAAAACACAACATAGAACATAGAAACTCCACACCCTGGCTCAACATTTAAGAGTCCCCAGAGCCAGGGCGTGACAGTACCCCCCCCCCCCCCCCCCCCCCCCCCCCCAAAGGCGCGGACTGCGACTGCGCCACACAAACACAACAGGGTAGGGGCCGGGTGGGCATTCCGCCTCGGAGGTGGATCCGGCTCCGGGCGTGACCACCACTTTCTCTCCAACTCCCCGTTGCGCCCCTGGTCTGGTCTGGCACCGCTGGCTGGAGCTGGAACCGACGACGGTGGATCGATCTGTACAGGCTCCGGACTGGAGCCGCTGGCCGGAGCTGGACTGGGCACCGGTGGAGCGGATTGCTCTGGCTCCAGAGTGGATCCGCTGACAGGAGTTGGACCGGACCCCGGTGGAGCGGATTGCTCTGGCTCCGGAGTGGAGCAGCTGACCGGTGCCGGACCAGGCACCGGTGGAACAGGCACGGGCCGTGCCGGACTGGACACACGCACCACTGGCTTGGTGCGGGGAGCAGGAGCGGGCCGGACCGGGCTGACGACGCGCACCCCTGGCCTGGTGCGAGGAGCAGGAGCGGGCCGGACCGGGCTGACGACGCGCACCACTGGCATGGTGCGGGGAGCAGGAACGGGCCGCACCGGGCTGACGACGCGCACCACTGGCTTGGTGCGGGGAGCAGAAACGGGCCGGACCGGGCTGACGACGCGCACCACTGGCTTGGTGCGGGGAGCAGGAACGGGCTGGACCGGGCTGGCGACGCGCACCACAGGCTTGGTGCGGGGAGCAGGAACGGGCCGGACCGGGCTGGCGACGTGCACCACTGGCTTGGTGCGAGGGGCAGGAACAGGCCGGACCGGGCTGGCGACGTGCACCACTGGCTTGGTGCGAGGGGCAGGAACAGGCCGGACCGGGCTGGCGACGCGCACCACTGGCTTGGCGCGAGGGACAGGAACAGGCCGGACCGGACTGGGAACACGCACCCCTGGCTTGGTGCGGGGAGCAGGAACAGGCCGGACCGGGCTGGCGACGCGCACCACTGGCTTGGTGCGAGGGGCAGGAACAGGCCGGACCGGGCTGGCGACGCGCACCACTGGCTTGGTGCGAGGGCCAGGAACAGGCCGGGCTGGACTGGGAACACACACCACTGGCTTGGTGCGGGGAGCAGGAACAGGCCGGGCTGGACTGGGAACACGCACCACTGGCTTGGTGTGGGGAGCCGGAACGGGCCGGGCCGGACTGTGGAGGCGGACTGGAGGTCTGGAGCGAAGAGCTGACACAACCCGTCCTGGCTGAATGCCTACTTCCACACAATATGTGTGAGGCATCAGCACAGGACGTACGGGGCTGTGCACTCGTACTGGCGATACAGCACGTGGCACAGGCGCAAGATATACGGGACCGAGGAGGCGTACTGGAGACCACGAGCATTGAGCCGGCACACCCCGTCCTGGCTGAATGCCCATCTTCGCACGACACGTGCGTGGTGCTAGCACAGGACGTACAGGACTGTGCCGGAACACTCGCGGCACAGTACGTGGCTCCGCATAACACGGAGCCTGCCCAGTCACACGCTTCCTAGCATGAGTGCGGGGAGTTGGCTCTGCTCTAACACTAGGCTCCGCCAACCACCCTTTTAGCCCCCCCCCAAAAAAAATTATTGGGGCTGTCTCTCGGGCTTCCTCCTCGGCCGGCACCTCCTGCGTTGCCGCTGCTCCTCTCTATAGCGCGCCTCCACAGTCTCCTCCCAAGGACGGCGATCCATTCCGGCCTGAATCTCCTCCCAAGTCCAGGATCCCTTCCCATCCAGGATCTCCTCCCAGGTCCAGGCTGTCTGTTCCTGGACACGCTGCTTCGTCCTTAGTTGGTGGGATCTTCTGTCACGCTCGTTTACTGATGAGACGGACCAAGGCGCAGCGTGATAAGCGTACATTTTATTACGTACTTAACTCACGACAAAACAACAAACAAACGAAACGTGAAGTCCTAGGTTACACAAAACAATCCTTAACGGAACAAGATCCCACACCGACTAGTGCCAAACAGGCTGCCTAAGTATGGTCCCCAATCAGAGACAACGAGATACAGCTGCCTCTGATTGGGAACCACCCTGGCCAACATAGATCAACACGATCTAGAAAACACAACATAGAACATATGACATAGAAACTCCACACCCTGGCTCAACATTTAAGAGTCCCCAGAGCCAGGGTGTGACAGAGTGGAACAAAATCCCTCCTGAGATGTGTGCAAACCTGGTGGACAACTACAAGAAACGTCTGACCTCTGTGATTGCCAACAGGGGTTTTGCCACCAAGTACTAAGTCATGTTTTGCAGAGGGGTCAAATACTTATTTACCTCATTAAAATGCAAAAATAAATTTATAACATTTTTGACATGCGTTCTTCTGGATTTTTTTGTTGTTATTCTGTCTCTCACTGTTCAAATAAACCTACCATTAAAATTATAGACTGATCATGTCTTTGTCAGTGGGCAAACGTACAAATTCAGCAGTGGATCAAATACTTTTTTCCCTCACTGTACCATAGACTTCCAGTCATTGGGCTAACGCTAGTTAGCATTGGCTCACGAAACTACCTCTAACTTCCTTCAAACTGCATACAGAGACATAATAATGGTATCCATGAGTTCATCTGACTCCGGTTGAAGTAATCCCGAAGTATCCCTTTTAGTATAGTAAAGGTAGTAGTAGCTTATCAGGAGTGTGTGTAAAATGTTTTGTTATGTCATGGTTTAGACGTACAAAGTCATCCTTGTCCTCCCACTCCACTTCTGACAGGTCCACACTGCTGTAGTTGGGCTTCCTCCTCTTCTGGCCCTCCTGGTACTGAGGCACAGAGGAACACACATTTGATGGGAACAGTTGAGGAAGTCTAGATTTTGGTTACACTGTGGATGGTTTGGGTGCACAGCTAAGTTAAGAATGAACCTATACAAGGCTTCGTTCACACAGTCCTGCTCAAAACCAGAACACTCCTAGCCAGGTTAAGCAGACTGACCACTGTGTTCAAACAGAATGTGAGCTATCGTGAAGTCAGGCTGGTTCCACCAGGCTAGAACTCCCCAAATTGAATACCAAATTGATCAGTTCAATCAACAACCAATACTATAAACATGTCCAGTCCCACACACAAAGTCCAGTAGGGTCTAGTTCAGCCTCAGAATAGACAACCACAGTCACAGCACAGTCTAAGGCACAGAGAAACACACACTTACAGTACATAGAAAACACACAGCAACACATACTAAAACACATATACACACAAACACACACAGTGGCACAGAGAGGTACTAACGTCACATATACACTGTTACACACAGATCCACTAGCACCAGTTTCCAGTGGGACCCATGCAGGATCCCAGAGAGAGAGTGAGTGTCTGTGGTCTATTCTCTGTATAGTACAGTTACAGGACAGGATGGTTACCTCTGGGTTAGTGTTATCTCAGTTAGCCAGGGCCAGCCAGCCCTACAGTAGTAGCAATGGCCTGTATCCCTCCCTGCATGCATACATCAAAGGAAAAGGTGGGCATTACAGATTGAGCCTCCCAACTTGCTCGGTAACACGTACTCACACTGTTTATGTGTATGTGGTTAACATAGTCTGTCATGTAACAGAAAAGGGCACAGGCATTCAGTGTCTGTATTTAAACTATTTATTTGAAGAGATGCTCCGGTACTTTTGTTTACTTTACTTTTTAGCCAGTAGTTCTGAAAGTAGTGCTCACGAGCCAAAAGTGGTCTGCGAAAATGGTGTATTACATCACAGACAGTGGGGAGAACAAGTATTTGATACACTGCCGATTTTGCAGGTTTTCCTACTTACAAAGCATGTAGAGGTCTGTAATTTTTATCATAGGTACACTTCAACTGTGTGAGACGGAATCTAAAACACAAATCCAGAAAATCACATTGTATGATTTTTAAGTAATTAATTTGCATTTTATTGCATGACATAAGTATTTGATACATCAGAAAAGCAGAACTTAATATTTGGTACAGAAACCTTTGTTTGCAATTACAGAGATCATACGTTTCCTGTAGTTCTTGACCAGGTTTGCACACACTGCAGCAGCGATTTTGGCCCACTCCTCCATACAGACCTTCTCCAGATCCTTCAGGTTTCGGGGCTGTCGCTGGGCAATACGGACTTTCAGCTCCCTCCAAAGATTTTCTATTGGGTTCAGGTCTGGAGACTGGCTAGGCCACTCCAGGACCTTGAGATGCTTCTTACGGAGCCACTCCTTAGTTGCCCTGGCTGTGTGTTTCGGGTCGTTGTCATGCTGGAAGACCCAGCCACGACCCATCTTCAATGCTCTTACTGAGGGAAGGAGGTTGTTGGCCAAGATCTCGCGATACATGGCCCGATCCATCCTCCCCTCAATACGGTGCAGTCGTCCTGTCCCCTTTGCAGAAAATAATCCCCAAAGAATGATGTTTCCACCTCCATGCTTCACGGTTGGGATGGTGTTCTTGGGGTTGTACTCATCCTTCTTCTTCCTCCAAACACGGCGAGTGGAGTTTAGACCAAAAAGCTATATTTTTGTCTCATCGGACCACATGACCTTCTCCCATTCCTCCTATGGATCATCCAGATGGTCATTGGCAAACTTCAGATGGGCTGGCTTGAGCAGGGGGACCTTGCGTGCGCTGCAGGATTTTAATCCATGACGGCGTAGTGTGTTACTAATGGTTTTCTTTGAGACTGTGGTCCCAGCTCTCTTCAGGTCATTGACCAGGTCCTGCCATGTAGTTCTGGGTTGATCCCTCACCTTCCTCATGATCATTGATGCCCCACCAGGTGAGATCTTGCATGGAGCCCCAGACCGAGGGTGATTGACCGTCATCTTGAACTTCTTCCATTTTCTAACAATTGCGCCAACAGTTGTTGCCTTCTCACCAAGCTGCTTGCCTATTGTCCTTTAGCCCATCCCAGCCTTGTGCAGGTCTACAATTGTATCCCTGATGTCCTTACACAGCTCTCTGGTCTTGGCCATTGTGGAGAGGTTGGAGTCGGTTTGATTGAGTGTGTGGACAGGTGTCTTTTATACAGGTAACGAGTTCAAACAGGTGCAGTTAATACAGGTAATGAGTGGAGAACAGGAGGGCTTCTTAAAGAAAAACTAACAGGTCTGTGAGAGCCAGAATTCTTACTGGTTGGTAGGTGATCAAATACTTATGTCATGCAATAAAATGCAAATTAATAACTTAAAAATCATACAATGTGATTTTCTGGATTTTTGTTTTAGATTCCGTCTCTCACAGTTGAAGTGTACCTATGATAAAAATTACAGACCTCTACATGCTTTGTAAGTAGGAAAACCTGCAAAATCGGCAGTGTATCAAATACTTGTTCTCCCCACTGTATGTGCACATATGTGCAACACGTCATTGCGCTCTCTCTCTCTCTCGCTCTGCTGTGTGTGCATCTTGCTAGCTGTCCCTCAAATGGCGAGGGGCTGAAGCTCATTGGCTAGAACTCAAATTGCTAGGGGGCTGGACCACGTGGGTGAACATTTTGGGAAAATGACACAGCACATCTTCCAGAAAAACAAACTAGGGATTTCGTGGCTAATTGAGGTAAGATAGTAATTCTGCTCTTAGATTATACATGTATGAACTACACACTGACACATCTGGCCCAAAGCGGGAAGTTTAAAAAACGACTTAGTAGTCGCCAAAGTTCCGGAGCATGTCTTTAATGGTCCAATGCAGCCAATTTTTTAAAAATCTCAATATCAAATCATTTCTGGGTAACAATTAAGTATCTTAATGTGATTGTTCTCAATAAAAATGGTCCTAAAAAAACAAAAATATCTTCTTGGCAAAGAGCAATTTCTCAAGCAAGAATTTTGCTAGGACCCTCTGGGAGGAGTTTGAGTGGGGAGGGGAAAACTGAAATGTAGCTGTTTAACCACTTTAACCACAATCCCAAGGTTGGTATGTGTAAAGGCTGTGTGGGTTATGGTTAGTGCATTGTGGCAAGATTAGGGTTAGGGATAGAGTTAGGGTTGCATAATTCAGGTAACTTTCCCAGAATTCCCAGGTTTTCCAGAACTCCTGGTTAGAAGATTCCCGGTATCAGGAGGGAATAAGCAGGAAATCCTGAATCCTCTAACCATTATTTCTGAGAAAACCTGTGATTTTACAACCCTAGAAAGGGAACCTAGTGTATGAGTGGGTTTAAAAGACAGTGTGTTACCAGTGGCCTCAGGTCCGGATGGGTCAGGATGTAGCCGTTGTTTGTGATGGCAAACGCGTAACCGTGGATACCCAGCTGAAGGCACAAAAACAATATATAGAGATACTTGATTACATGAAGTAGAGTACAGGACAACAGTAAATGACAACGCATCAAATGAGTCATAAACATGGGTTAGTAAACACAGTACCATGTGTTTAGGGATGATCTTCATGAGTTCCTGAAGAGGAATGTCTGTGCCCACTACCCCTAGGAGAATACCCTGGTTCTTCTGTAGGGGAGAGAGGAGCGAAAGAGTGAGTATAACACAGACAGACAGACAGACAGACAGACAGACAGACAGACAGACAGACAGACAGACAGACAGACAGACAGACAGACAGACAGACAGACAGACAGACAGACAGACAGACAGACAGACAGACAGACAGACAGACAGACAGACAGACAGACAGACAGACAGACAGACAGACAGACAGACAGACAGACAGACAGACAGACAGACAGACAGACAGACAGACAGACAGACAGACAGACAGACAGACAGACAGACAGACAGACAGACAGACAGACAGACAGACAGACAGACAGACAGACAGACAGACAGACAGACAGACAGACAGACAGACAGACAGACAGACAGACAGACAGACAGACAGACAGACAGACAGACAGAGGCACAGACACACACACTTACCGTCTCGTTCTTGGTGCTGAACACAGGCATGGCCACAGTGGTCATCAGGCTAGGGCCCTTCTTGTTTCTGGACTGAGACAGAACACAGTGACAGAGACAGTGACAGACAGTGGCAAATACCATGGCTACTGAGAATAGCATAGCATTTAGCATCAGTCAGACATGGAATACTATAGCAACAGCCTCTGATGATTAACATAATGGGAAGATCTCGATTGCATACTCCTCCCGTCCTCTCTCCTTGTCTCCTTCTCAAAACCCTTTGGATAAGAAAGCCAGAGGTCCCTCCCCTCTGGCCTTCTCCTCCAATGGGTTTTGAGAAGGAGACGAGGAGTGAGGAGAGAGGATGCGAGGAGTATGCAATCGAGATCTTCCCATTATGTTAATCATCAGAGGCTGTTGCTATAGTATTCCCTGTCTGACTGATGCTAAATGCTATGCTATTCGGCGTCAATAGAGGATCATATGCACCAATGTCCATCCCTGCCAAGTAGGCTTCATCACAACACATTTACAGTCCAGTAATTTCACCAAAATACATTTCACCAAACACTGTGCAGTAGAAATGTCGCCAAATGCTTTTTATACAAAATGTAAGTGAGTCTGCAGTGTAAATCTATGGTAAATGTTGCTTGTGGTTTTACAGTAAATGTATATTGAAGCTCCAGTTTAGAGCAAATCCCAGTGTGTGTGTGTGTCTCCGTTTTGGCTGAGAGCGGGGCTAAGCTCAGCAGGATGAGAACTGACATGATTAAACACATGTGCTCACTGAAACTAGGTCTGCTATTCCCTCACCTCACAGGCTCACGGACACAGCTGTGAGTGCTCTGTGTGTGAGTGTCATAGCCGCTGGAAGTAGTGGTTCTAAGGGTGCTGCAGCACACCCTGATAAATCACAATAAAAAAATAATGAATATAACAATTAAAAATAATTTGTACAAAATGAAACCCACATCTAAACATCTTCCCGCAGCCATGGTGAGTGCGTGGCTGTTTGTGTATGTGTGTGAGTGCTTGCGTGTGCGCGTGCTTACGTGTTTGGCTGTTGTGTGTGTTTGTGTTCATGTACGTGTGTAGGAGAGAGGCAGTGAACAGTGTAGGGTACTAGGGTGGGATTATGTGTCTTGGCTGCTCGACAAAATGACTGATGGAGGGTCTAACCATCGACCACCCCGCTTCCTCCCAGAGTAACAGCCCCTAAAGCCCAGTCTCACCTGTACAGGTAGACCCTGGTAGACCCCCCAGTCCATCAGAGGAGCTTAGTAAAGACACACTGGGAATATCCTGCAGCAGTCAGCAGCACTAGACACAAGAGAGCTTTCTGGGAAACGACCTTGTGCTAGCCCCCCCCCGTCCCGTCCCCCCCGTCCCCGTCCCCGTCCCCTCTCCTTCTTTCTCTCCCTCGCTCACTCTCTCCGCTCCAATGTCAGTTTTATTATGAGCTTCAGGAGATAAAAGGCAATGATCCACAGAATGATGAATGGTGTTTCTCTGTGGCTGAGATACAAGAGCACACACGCCAGAGGACAATCCCCCCAAACCCAACCCTTACCTCTGTGGCCGTGTGTGTGTGTTTGTGTGCGTGTGTGGGTACTATACACAATACACATACAGTCCAGGACAATCCCCTTACTGAGTAGAAGCAGAGCTTTATAAATTACAGCAGTCTCAACTGCTGCTGCAATTCCTTAACTCCACAGCAGGGGAGAAACTCACTACTCAGGAACCCTCAGCAACCAGATTACAAACACATATCAATGGCAACTAAATAACACCTCAAATGATGTATCCATTTAATACACCATCATGGAAAATAGTTAAAATGTGCACAGTAAATAATCTCTAAATGACAAGGAAAAGAGAGAGAGAGAGAGAGAGAGAGAGAGAGAGAGGCTTTACCTTGTGTGCCTGGGAGAGCTGCAGAAGGAGACAGAAAAATGACAAATGAGGATTGAGCTCTCCTCCTGTACAACAGACAGCCAGACAGACTGCTCCTCCTGCATATTACCATTCTAGACACAGAAGTGCAGAACAATCCAGTCGGAATTAATGAAGCTCATAATGAGGAATCACTCCTGTAGCATGAAGGGGACTGATCAGAGAGGACACATACACAGATGCAGGCACGCGCAAATGCACATACACACACACACTCACCGACACGCAAGCATGTTTGGGCATGTACACATACAGTATGAACACACATACAGGGTGGACACCAGTGTGGGGATTAGTTACTTGAAACAGTAATATATTACATATTACTCGTTACATTTAACAAAAGTAACGCGTTACTTTACAATATGACTCAAAATCTCCCCGCTTGTTTGACTGTCAGAGGGAGCAAGGCCATGCTCTACCAAAGATAGGCTACTTACTAACTCAGCTTTGATCACTAGTTTCTCCTTTCATCTGTGGAGCTGCTTTGCTGTGCTAGTCTACAAGTGCGCTATACAGTGGCTTGCGAAAGTATTCACCCCCCTTGGCATTTTTCCTATTTTGTTGCCTTACAACCTGGAATTAAAATAGATTTTTGGGGGGTTTGTATCATTTGATTTACACAACATGCCTACCACTTTGAAGATGCAATATATTTTTTATTGTGAAATAAACAAGAAATAATACAAAAAAACTGAAAACTTCAGCGTGCATAACTATTCACCCCCCCAAAGTCAATACTTTGTAGAGACACCTTTTGCAGCAATTACAGCTGCAAGTCTCTTGGGGTATGTCTCTATAAGCTTGGCACATCTAGCCACTGGGATTTTTGGCCATTCGTCAGGGAAAAACTGCTCCAGCTCCAAGTTGGATGGGTTCCCCTGGTGTACAGCAATCTTTAAGTCATACCACAGATTCTCAATTGGATTGAGGTCTGGGCTTTGACTAGGCCATTCCAAGACATTTAAATGTTTCCCCTTAAACCACTTGAGTGTTGCTTTAGCAGTATGCTTAGGGTCATTGTCCTGCTGGAAGGTGAACCTCTGTCCCAGTCTCAAATCTCTGGAAGACTGAAACAGGTTTCCCTCAAGAATTTCCCTGTATTTAGCACCATCCATCATTCCTTCAATTCTGACCAGTTTCCCAGTCCCTACCGATGAAAAACATCCTCACAGCACGATACTGCCACCACCATGCTTCACTGTGGGGATGGTGTTCTCTGGGTGATGAGAGGTGTTGGGTTTGCGCCAGACATAGCGTTTTCCTTGATGCCCAAAAAGCTAAAGAGTACCTTCTTCCATATGTTTGAGGAGTCTCCCACATGCCTTTTGGTGAACACCAAACATGTTTGCTTATTTTTTTCTTTAAGCAATGGCTTTTTTCTGGCACTCTTCCGTAAAGCCCAGCTCTGTGGAGTGTACGGCTTAAAGTGGTCCTATGGACAGATACTCCAATCTCCGCTGTGGAGCTTTGCAGCTCCTTCAGGGTTATCTTTGGTCTCTTTGTTGCCTCTCTGATTAATGCCCTCCTTGCCAGTTCGTGAGTATTTGTGGGCGGCCCACTCTTAGCAGGTTTGTTGTGGTGCCATATTCTTTCCATTTTTTAATAATGGATTTAATGGTGCTCCGTGGGATGTTCAAAGTTTTGGATATTTTTTTATAACCCAACCCTGATCTGTACTTCTCCGCAAAATGTGTCCCTGACCTGTTTGGAGAGCTCCTTGGTCTTCATGGTGCCACTTGCTTGGTGGTGCCCCTTGCTTAGTGGTGTTGCAGACTCTGGGGCCTTTCAGAACAGGTGTATATATACTGAGATCATGTGACAGATCATGTGACACTTAGATTGCACACAGGTGGACTTTATTTAACTAATTATGTGACTTCTGAAGGTAATTGGTTGCACCAGATCTTATTTAGGGGCTTCATAGCAAAGGGGGTGAATACATATGCACGCACCACTTTTCCGTTTTTTTCCTCTTTTTTTTTAAACAAGTAATTTTTTTCATTTCACTTCACCAATTTGGTCTATTTTGTGTATGTCCATTACATGAAATCCAAATAAAAATCCATTTAAATTACAGGTTGTAATGCAACAAAATAGGAAAAACACCAAGGGGGATGAATACTTTTGCAAGGCACTGTATATGGGCTGCTTAATTAGCCATATATACTGTAGGCCAAACATCTGTACAGATTTCCTATCTTTTCATTCAAAATCTTTCTCTCAAGCCGCCTGTTCTGGTTATAGATTGCACATACGCGATGGACTCATAGAGAGTATAGAGGGCACACTTTCCACTAGATGGAACAGTCCTCTATGGGCTTTGCTATCACAGAAGCGATCAATGGCAAAGATGAGGTGTGCACCCTCTATACATTTCTATGGACAGCAGCTGTCATGACATTTCTCCAAACAGCCTTTCTCCGCTTGCTCGAGAACTAAATGAGGTCAAGATCGGATCATGGAAACGCACCCGGTAGAGATATGATTCTGAAAGTTGTTTGACAAAGTAATAATATTACCCAATACTCCGTTACTCATAAAAGTAATCTGATTATGTACACTGGTGGAAATACATACTGTACACGGACCACGTTACACACACTCACTAACTTTTTCTACTCACTATGATACTTACAGTGCTGTCCACGTAGGCCTCTGTCCAGACCGTGTCATGCTCATGGTCGATGACTTTAGGACGACTCATAACATGAAGATACCTCATCACATTTTCCTGTACATCAGCCAGTGTGGAGATCTGACTGAAATACCCTGTGGCAACGCGCACGCACGCACGCACGCACGCACGCACGCACGCACGCACGCACGCACGCACGCACGCACGCACGCACGCACGCACGCACGCACGCACGCACGCACGCACGCACGCACGCACGCACACGCACACACACACACACACACACACACACACACACACACACACACACACACACACACACACACACACACACACACACACACACACACACACTGTATCACATTATGGTATTTCACAGGCATTTCCCAGTAAGTGTGTGTTACTGTGAGTGTTAGAATAAGGTTAGACTAGCTGGGCTGTGTAATCCCACAAGTCATCAGTTTTCCTGACTGTGACTTTCCCAGTCCAGAGCGTTCTCCTCTCATCCAGAGCGTGGGCACACGGGAGCCATCAGCGGCATGTGGCCAGGGGGAAAGGCTCTGACAGGAAGAGGGATGAGGCAGGGATGCCCCCTGACCCCTCTGTGTCACTCCACCGACGCTCCGCTCTGCACTGCTCACATCAGCAGCACAGCCAATCCCCAACACCTCCAAACCCACTCACACACCTCACACACTAAATCCTGCATCTCTTCGCTCCCCAACACACTCACACACCTCACATGCACACACTCCCATACACTAACACACTCAGATACCCTCACACACTTCAAACCCCCTCACACACACAACTACACTCACACCCCAGCACACACACACCAACACCCACAATTCCTCTCTCAACAAAACACACTCAAAATCTAACACCTGCATCTCTTCCCTCCCCATAACACACTCACACACCTCTTTGACTAACACACACCAATAGCCACAATTTCTATCTACCCAACACACACATTTAAACACAGCCAACATCCCATCACAGTAATTATATGGTGTGTGGTATATTTGCTACAAAGTATTTGTGTTTCTTATGATATAGTTTGAAGAGGAGACAAACCTTTATTAGCACAGGCCATCCATTTCATGTTATCAGCAAAGGCAGACTCTCGGCCAATCAGGTAAGGGAATATGCGCACCTATACGGAGAGGAGGCAGGGACGTCAGGTGTTTATAGTGTGGTTGCCAGCTCAGATTTAAATAGAGAATACATAAACATTCACCGTGACGGAACCACATGGGGCTCCCTCTTCCTGCTCGTATTCTATCTGTCTGGAGAGGGGAGAGGAGGGTGGCAATATGCACTGCTACAGTACTGGATGTGCCTCACTAGGAAAGACCCAGCACTCTATAGCTCTTTGTCTTTCTTCCTTTCCCTTCATCTCCCTTCCTCTCTCCTCTCCTCATCCCTTTCTCATTTCCATTGTTTTCCTCCCTCTTTCTCTCTTTCTTGCTCATCCATCCATCCATCCATCTGCATGTCTGTGCTTCATTAGATTTGTGTGTACGTATAAACCAAAGTTGACAGCACAGAGAAACAGGAGACAGGTTACGTTCTCTCTGTGGCATACGCCAGCCAATCAGAGGGCTTCTAGCTGAACATGGGGGCGGGTCCATGCGGGTACTTTGTGTGACTCTCGGGCCAATACGGCACGGCTCATTAGCTCCAGATGCTATGCTAAGCATATAGGAGAACCAGAGTGAATGGCTGCCCCTCTGGGTATGTGGGGGGGATGGGGGTTACACTGCCAAAAACGTACCCTTTGTGCCGAGTCTACCGACACGCATATGCTTGATAGGACTGGACAAAAGGGCCGTAAGCTTTTGTTTTTATTGCACTCTGAATAGCACAGCAGCCCATTTAATATCAATTGCATTTGTCTAACGCTTTCACCCAGTCATTTGTCACAGAGTGGCCCAGAAAAGACCCCCCAGAAAGACCCTCCAATAGAGAGCCAGCCAGGGGCGACAACGACAGAGGCTGAGAGGCAGAAGCAGGGACAAGCCTATTTTGGCACTGGAGGAGGGGATTCAGAGATTATGTAGCCAGCCTGGGGCGACAGAGGCAGGGGCAGGGGAAAGGGTAGATGCAGGAGGAGAGGGGCTCCACAGCACAGAGATACTGAAATACTGGGACAGTATATAATATAATAATATGCCATTTAGCAGACGCTTTTATCCAAAGCGACTTACAGTCATGCGTGCACACATTTTTGTGTATGGGTGTTCCCGGGGATCGAACCCACTACCTTGGCGTTACAAGCGCCGTGCTCTACCAGCTGAGCTACAGAGGACCACGAGAGGTAGAGGCAGGGAGAAGGCTATGTGGATACGTCCAGGAGGATAAGAAGGGCTCTAGAGCACAGAGAGCAAGCCTGGGCAGTAGAGGCAGAGAGAAGACAGGAGGAGAGAGGCTAGACTCTGAAGTACATTCAGTCCTCTTCCTCCAGCCAAGCACACGCAGAAGCAGAGTTCACTGTCTGCATGAGTGTTTGATTGAGTCAGGCCAGTCTGTTGTTGAGGTGGATGGAGGTCAAACAGAGAGATGCCACTAAACTCCGGGGACAAACTGTCTGAACTATCTCCACAGCCCCTCCATTATGACTCTTAATGTCATGCTTATAAAGGTTTTCTGAATGCTTTCTGAATGCTTTCTGAATGCTTTCTGAATGCTTTCTGAATGCTACATAATGTGTTGTCCGTTTTGTCTTACATTGTTGTTGTTTTTTATCCCAACCTCCGGCCCCCACAGGAGGCCTTTTGCCTCTTGCCGTCATTGTAAATAAGAATTTGTTCTTAATTGACTTGCCTGGTTAAATAAAAGTTTTCTGATCATTGAACAGGGTTTGGACTGGTGGAGGACAAAACAGTTCAAAAAGAGACATGCCTAATAGGCAAAGTAAAGCAGCTTGTGTATAATGTTTTAGGTTTTGGCTGGCTCTTGGTTCTGTGTGCAGCGTAAACCATGCGTGAGTGAGTGCTCAGGGACTGAGGATGAACCATGATTCCGTCCTTGAAAACAGTTTATACCCCATGTTTCTCTGGTCAGGACAAATGTCACACTGTGTCAGGTCAGGTCAGCTCTATAAAATACATGTACATTTCATTCAATTGTACATTTACTAGGTTATGAGCTTTACTTGGATAATAAGAACTCAATTTCGCCAAACGACAAGAAGGAAAATCCATCTAATATCCATGATTTTAAAATGATGGAAATGGTGAAGTCTCAAAGGAAGCAAAACACGGCACAAGCAAGAATCGGATTCACAATGAGACTTTGAAAGGACAACAGAGGCAGTAGGAGAATGAGAAGGAGAAAGATAGATTGGAGTGTGGGTGTGTCATTGTCATGACAATTCTATTTTAAAATCATAACAATACAAAATCAACCAAAGCAAAGTTGGTAGAATGTTTGAATTTAAAATGTTTGGTTAATAAGAGCAACAGTGTTGCCATGGTGATTCTATTCATAAGAATACAATTACATTTGAAAATGATGATATCACAATTGAAAATGGAATGTTAGAATGTTTGGTTGATAGGCACAAATGTTGATTTGGAACTCTGTTTTGGTGGCAACAACCCAAGACTAGACGTGCGACTTGCTTCTTTCTGCTATCTAAGATTATACATTTAGCTAAAATGACCTTCTACACCTAGCGATTTAATCAGTCACTACCATGGATGGCACAGGGACATCAGTATCTTCCTGCAATGCCTTCAAATTCCATCAGCTATGGTTAGACTGAGACAAATACTGTATTTTTACCAGGATTTGGTTAATTGCTTATTGTTGTGTATTTCTGAGCATTACAGGTTTAGAATGCATTTAAGTACATATCAGATCATCAAGTTCCTGCAGGAAACCAATGGCCTCCATTTTAATGCAAATTCTATACTTGAATCTGAATTATGAATAAATGACTCGACTGCCCCCGCAAGAAGAGAAAGGATTTCTGAGGGTTTCTGTTGCATTTATGTAAATCACGAAGGCCATTTGCACTCATTTGCATTTTCCTGTGGAGGAGGAAAACTTTCTACAACAAAAGGGTGATCAAATTAAGATGCCAGATCTGTATAGCATCGGCTTTATGTGTGACTTTAGGTCAGGTCCTCCCGATTTTCTCAGCGATCAGGCATTGTGAGTGGTACTGGAAGTCCCGGTACCTAACCATGGCCAACTTCTGCTACCACAGCATTGCTCCTGCTCAGGCAGGTATTGGTTATCTGTTCCACAAGCACATGGAGCTGAAGCACCAGGTAGAGTTCTACATTGCAGGAGAGTGAGGATGGAGTTTTATGAGACTTTTCTGATGAAGAGATTGAGAAACTGGAAGCCATTCCAGGGGTGTTGGAGATGGCTGTGAATCTCTGAGTTATTTTGTAGATGTAAGAAATATAAGATAGAGTAAGATAGGATTGGTAGGTATAGTACGTTTGATAAGTTATTGTACATTTTATAGCAATACTAATAAATTATATTGTAAGTATCAAAATCGTTATGTCTTTTTTGTGACTGTGCATGTGTGTATGTGTGTTTGAGTGAGTTAGTGAGTTAGTGAATGGTTGTTTGTGAGAGAGAGAGAGAGAGAGAGAGAGAGGAGAGAGAGAGAGAGAGAGAGAGAGAGAGAGAGAGAGAGAGAGAGAGAGAGAGAGAGAACACTACCTATTGTAGAGCCTTCCCAAACATGACCAGTATCTCACCTTTCTGTCTGGCCAGTTGAACTTGGCGAAGACGTCGTCGTACATCTGCGTTGCCCCGTCGGTCACCAGCATGATAGCCTGGCTACACACACTGCCATGCCCAGTCTGGTTAAACTACGCACACAGAGAGAACACAAACACTTACACAGAGATACACAATCATCACACAAACAAACACAGATACATATACACAGGAATACATAGAGTTGGGGACTTGAGTCAAGGACTGCGTTGCACTTTGGATGATTAAAGTTCAGATGATTAATTTATATTGATAATTATCTATTTACTAATAGATTATCTTGTATTTACTATTTTCCTAACAAGGAAACTCATTGAGTTGAACCAGATGGGAACATCAATGACAGGTTTTGCACCATGGTCTTCCCGACAGCCAGATTACTATCTCCAAAAAGGAGCAACATTTATTCACGTGATGTTCATCTCTCCTCTAAGCCTATCTCTGTCTCTGAGGCCTGGGCTACCTCAGAGACAGACCTGGGTTCAAATACTATTTGGGCTTGATTACCTGGGCTTAATTGAGCTAGTCTGACACAATTGAACCAATAGAATACTCACAAGGAGTGCAAACCTTGCCCATCTGGCACTCCAGACGAAAATGCTAAAAGTATTTGAAAGATTTCGGTTAGTATTTGAACCCAGATCTGCTCTGAGACTCTGTGCCTGTCATCTCTGCCCGTGGCCGTGTAATGGCTGTTTTCACTGCTGATGTCTGATGATGTCCGATACTGGCGCCCAGCGCGCCCGTGTCCCCCGTCAGGGACTAAAACACAGATAATCTCTTTGTAAATAAACCGGGGAGTGCAGCCCACATTAATCTGATGGCAGAAGATGCATGGCGGTAATTAACTGGCTTATTGACCTGTGACAGAGGGAACATGGAGAAATAGAGGTTTGTGGAGTGAGCGCCATTATCGCCGTCTAAAAGCTTCTGAGCTGAGCACGGCTCTGCTCCCAAAACACAACAGCAGCAGCACAGCAAGAATGTGTGTGTGGAGACAGACATACACACGCACAGGCATGCACACACACACACACACACACACACGCACACACACACACACACACACACAGGATTACAATACCGGCACGGACTGTCTCGATGCACACACCTCTCACACATGCACGGTGGTCTCCGTATACATTGCGGATTACCACGAGTTGACCTTGCTCAGAACATCCCTTCAAGCCAGGGTAAAGAGTTACTGTAGATATGTCAAACAGACCTAGATAAACACAGCGTATAGAGCAAATGATTTACATGTATTTTGTCAAGAATATGGACAATGCTAAGAGCTTTGACACCTCAAGCCGTTTTAGAGCTAAGGAGGTTTGTCTGAGGCAGAGAACTGTAAATAAGGCTGTATTGGATCAAACTAACAGAATTCAAAGCCTGTCCACCACAGTGAACTACAGAGAAAAATGAAGATATACCATCCAGACAGAACATAATGTTGACCATAATGTTTAAAACAGATGCAGTGTAGAATACATGATGCCATGGTAGGATCAGTGGTGTGTATTCATGGATGCCAAGGCTTCCCAAAAAAATGGACCAATATTTGTTTTTTTTGCCAATCAGCGTTGAGCTAAACTGTCCTGGTGCACCATAAAAAAGTGTCAAGGGAAGCCAGCTTGGATTTGGCGTCCCTCCTATCAAATCCCATTGAGAGCATACGTCATTGACAGAAAAACTTGAATTGTTGCATCTCGTTGTGTTGTTACCCTCTGCTGGCTAGCTAGCCAGCTAGCTACAATTGGCCCTTTCCCTAAGAAGGAAAGCCATGGATGGAGATAGGGATTTGGACTTGTGGTTTTATTTAATTCGCCATACTGGCCAATGATTATAACGGCGATTCTGATCCAAAAATTAATTAATACATTGTTGTGCCCCTGGCCGGAGAGGACGGAAGTTCAATATGTAGCTTGATGTAGAAGGCTAATGTTAACTAGCTAATGTTGCCCATGAATGGATGTTAGGCTAGCGAACAAGCATTTTAGCCAGGTAGCCTAGGACAACAAAAAATAAAAGCTTGTACTGTATGACAGAGTGATAGAATGTTCAGTCAACATGAAATAGAGGAGGATGGCATTGACGTTTCTCTACAAGTAGGGTGAGTCAACATGTTTTTGCTACATATGCACGCACATACGCACACAGAAATCAGAACCATGGACAGCCACATCATATTTAGCTTACGTTGATTAGACAATTGTTTTTGGTATCTTTTAGTTGTCACTGTATTAGACTAAGCAGAGGTGATTTGATTATGTTGAAATGTTGAAGTTGAAATGGTGCTGGAATAGTGGAGACAGCTCCTGTTTTCTTGCTACTTGCGGTAAGTGATTTTACCAGTGGTGGAAAAAATACCCAATTGTCATGCTTGAGTAAAAGTAAAGATACCTTAATAGAGAATGACTCAAGTAAAAGTTAAAGTCACCCAGTAAAATACTACTTGAGTAAAAGTCTAAAAGTATTTAGTTTGAAATATAAATTGCATTCGGAAAGTATTCAGACCACTTCACTTTTCCACATTTTCTTTTACATTACAGCCTTATTCTAAAATGGATGAAATTGTTTTCTTCCTCATCAATCTACACACAATACCCCATAATGACAAAGCAAAAACAGGTTTTGGGGATTTATCCCATTCTTCTCTGCAGATCCTCTCAAGCTCTGTCAGGTTGGATGGGGAGCATTGCCTGCACAGCTATTTTCAGGTCTCTCCAGAGATGTTTGATCGGGTTCAAGTCCAGGCTCTGGCTGGGCCACTCAACAACATTCAGAGACTTGTCCTGAAGCCACTCCTGCGATGTCTTGGCTGTGTGCTTAGGGTCATTGTCCTGTTGGAAGGTGAACCTTCGCCCCAGTCTGAGGTCCTGAGCGCTCTGGAGCAGGTTTTCAACAAGGATCTCTCTGTTCATCTTTCCCTTCTTGGTCACCTTCCTGACCAAGGCCCTTCTCTACCGATTGCTCAGTTTGGCCGGGAAGCCAGCTCTAGGAAGAGTCTTGGTGGTTCCAAACTTCTTCCATTTAAGAAGGATGGAGGTCATTGTGTTCTTGAGGACCTTCAATGCTGCAGACATTTATTGGTACCCTTCCACAGATCTATGCCGTGACACAATCCTGTCTCGGAGCTCTATGGACAATTCCTTCGACCTCATGGCTTGGTTTTTGCTCTGACATGCACTGTCAACTGTTGCACCTTATATAGACAGGCGTATGCCTTTCCAAATCATGTCCAACCAATTGAATTTACCACAGGTGGACTCCAATCAAGTTGTAGAAACATCTCAAGGATGATCAATGGAAACAGGATGCACCTGAGCTCAATTTCAAGTCTCATAGCAAAGGGTCTGAATACTTAAGTACTTTACAACACTGGATTTTACCCACGAACCGCTACTGTTTAGGATACAGGTGTTGACAAATGTGGAGATTATGGGAACATGGTGATGATCAGTATTATCGTCAAGGTTTGTTTGTGCTCAGACCACAGTGGTGCTTCTAGCAGAGAAACACACAAAACATCTCCAGGAAACCATAGTCTTGAGAATGCTGCAGTGTACACCACTCCAGAGCTAGTCAATTGCTTCCTACCTTCGATCTGCTCTGCAATAAGCTACAGAGTAAAACGTCTCTAGCCCAGTTAGTCCATCCCATCCATTCATCGAGGTGATAGCCTGGCCTAGTGTAACAATGTATTTCACACTGAGCCTATTGGCCAACTGATTACCATATTCATTGGACTAGCTTTAATTAATCGTACCAATGCAGACATTGGAGCCGTGCTCCCGGGACCCTGTGTGGTGCGGCGGGCCGCTAGCCTGAAAACAGAGAGATAAAAGGAGAGCAGAGAGGCTCCTGGTCTTATCTCCACCGGCTTTGTGTTCCAATCATCCTCCTTATTAATCAGTACTGTTAATTACAATCATTCATCATCTTCAGAATAGATGTGTCTGTGTTCACGGGGGCGGAACGGGGGATAGCGGGGATTGCGGTGAAGCATTTGGAACGGGAAATGGGAAGGAGACGCGCTGTACTCAGAGACTGAGAATAAGTAGGTACACCTTGCTGGAGTGTACTGATGCTACTCCTTTTCATCATTCAATTAGGTTGGGACATACAACTATTGTGCCTGAACTAACTGCCTTTCTACTCAAACGTCTCTGCCGTGTACCCAAGAGTGTTTACGTATATTTGTTGTTCAATCAAGTAAAAAGTCATTCTGGAAATAAACTGAAGTCCGAGACGCATTTGAGAACCAATTTGTGTTTAAGGTTTTGTGTTGTGTGTTTCATCCGCTCTACATTGGAGACATTTGCTGAGTTGAGTATTACAGTATGTGTGATGTTCATGATATAGATACACAGATAGAGCACCTGTAAGATGTAACTACTGTATATTTGTTTGTGCAATGTCTGTGTTGAACGAATAAACAAATGAATGAATGAACCAATGAACCAATGAATGAACAAATACAGTGTTAAAGTCCAAGGCTGAACTTACATCATTTAGAATGGTGAACGCTTCGGTCAGAGCATCACCCAGCAGACCAATCCCTTTGGCAAACAGCTTGTCCAGATGTTCTCTGAAATGCTAATAGATAACAAGGGAAGAGGTAAACATACAGTATGATTTGAGTATTAATCAAACAAATTCCCTCTGATATGATCTACATACAATTGTGTGTGTGTGTGTGTGTGTGTGTGTGTGTGTAAGTGTGTGTGTGTGTGTGTGTGTGTGTGAGAGAGAGAGAGAGAGAGGAACTTTTTTTGTAAAAATGGAAAGAAAATCATTTTCCTCATTGTTTAAAGATTATTATTTTAGGGGGTAGATCAGCTTTAATATTGCTGGTAGATTGTAGCTTCCATCAATGTAATTGTCTGCATCACTTCCAATCACCCATATATATTTTTGCAAATATACATATACATACATACACACATAAATACATACATATACATATGTACCGGTCAAAAGTGTTAGAACACCTACTCATTCAAGGGTTTTTCATTATTTGTACTATTTTCTACATTGTAGAATAATAGTGAAGACATCAAAACTATGAAATAACATATATGGATTAATGTAGTAACCAAAAAAGTGTTAAACAAATTATTTAAATTGGTTTAATGACAGCGTTGCACACTCTTGGCATTCTCTCAACCAGCTTCATGAGGAAGTCACCTGGAATACATTTCAATTAACAAGTGTGCCTTCTTAAAAGTACATTTGTGGAATTTGTTTCCTTCTTAATGCGGTTGAGCCAATCAGTTGTGTTGTGACAAGGTAGGGGGGTATACAGAAGATAGCCCTATTTGGTAAAATACCAATTCCATATTATGGCAAGAACAGCTCAAATAAGGAAAGAGAAACGACGGTCCATCATTACTTTAAGACATGAAGGTCAGTCAATACGGAACATTTCAAGAACTTTGAAAGTTTCTTTAAGTGCAGTCGCAAAAACCATCAAGCACAATGATGAAACTGGCTCTCATGAGGACCGCCACAGGAATGGAAGACCCAGAGTTACCTCTGTTGCAGAGGATAAGTTAATTAGAGTTACCAGCCTCAGAAATTGCAGCCCAAATAAATACTTCAAAGAGTTCAAGTAACAGACACATCTCAACATCAACTGTTCAGAGGAGACTGTGTGAATCAGGCCTTCATGGTCGAATTTCTGCAAAGAAACCACTACTAAAGGACACCAATAATAAGAAGAGACTTGCTTGGGCCAAGAAACACGAGCAATGGACATTAGACCAGTGGAAATTTGTCCTTTGGTCTGGAGTCCAAATGTGAGATGTTTGGTTCCAACCGCAGTGTCTTTGTGAGACGCGGTGTGGATGAACGTATGATCTCCGAATGTGTATTTCCCACCGTAAATCATGGAGGAGGAGGTGTTATGGTTGGGGGTGCTTTGCTGGTGACACTGTGTGATTTATTTAGAATTCAAGGCACAATTAACCAGCATAGCTACCACAGCATTCTGCAGCAATACGCCATCCCATCTGGTTTGGGCTTAGTGGAAATATCATTTGTTTTTCAACAGGACAAGGACCCAAAACACCTCCAGGCTGTGTAAGGGCTATTTTACCAAGAAGGAGAGTGATAGAGTGCTGCATCAGATGACCTGGCCTCCACAATCCCCCGACCTCAACCAAATTGAGATGGTTAGGGATGAGTCGGACCGCAGAGTGAAGGAAAAGCAGCCAACAAGTGCTCAGGTGAAGCTGGTTGCGAGAATGCCAAGAGTGTACAAAGCTGTCATCAAGGCAAAGGTTGGCTATTTGAAGAATCTCAAATATAAAATATATTTTGATGTGCTTAACACTTTTTGGGTTACTACATGATTCCATATGTGTTATTTCATAGTTTTGATGTCTTCACTATTATTCTACAATGTAGAAAATAGTAAAAATAAAGAAAAACCCTTGAATGAGTAGATGTTCTAAAACTTATGACCGGTAGTGTACATACAGTGAGGGAAAAAAGTATTTGATCCCCTGCTGATTTTGTACGTTTGCCCACTGACAAAGAAATTATCAGTCTATAATTTTAATGGTAGGTTTATTTGAACAGTGAGAGACAGAATAACAACAACAAAAATCCTGAAAACACATGTCAAAAATGTTATAAATTGATTTGCATTTTAATGAGGGAAATAAGTATTTGACCCCTCTGCAAAACATTACTTGGTACTTGGTGGCAAAACCCTTGTTGGCAATCACAGAGGTCAAACGTTTCTTGTAGTTGGCTACCAGGTTTGCACACATCTCAGGAGGGATTTTGTTCCACTCCTCTTTGCAGATCTTCTCCAAGTCATTAAGGTTTAGAGGCTGACGTTTGGCAACTCGAACCTTCAGCTCCCTCCACAGATTTTCTATGGGATTAAGGTCTGGAGACTGGCTAAGCCACTCCAGGACCTTAATGTGCTTCTTCTTGAGCAACTCCTTTGTTGCCTTGGCCATGTGTTTTGGGTCTTTGTCATGCTGGAATACCCATCCACGACCCATTTTCAATGCCCTGGCTGAGGGAAGGAGGTTCTCACCCAAGATTTGACAGTACATGGCCCTGTCCATCGTCCCTTTGATGCGGTGAAGTTGTCCTGTCCCCTTAGCAGAAAAATACCCCCAAAGCATAATGTTTCTACCTCCATGTTTGACGGTGGGGATGGTGTTCTTGGGGTCATAGGCAGCATTCCTCCTCCTCCAAACACGGCGAGTTGAGTTGATGCCAAAGAGCTTCTTGGTGACTATGGTCCCAGCTGCCTTGAGATCACTGACAAGATCCTCCCGTGTAGTTCTGGGCTGATTCCTCACCGTTCTCATTGCAACTCCACGAGGTGAGGTCTTGCATGGAGCCCCAGGCCGAGGGAGATTGACAGTTCTTTTGTGTTTCTTCCATTTGCGAATAATCCCACCAACTGTTGTCACCTTCTCACCAAGCTGCTTGCCGATGGTCTTGTAGCCCATTCTGTATACTTATTTCCCTCATTAAAATGCAAATCAATGTATAACATTTTTGACATGCGTTTTTCTGGATTTTTTTGTTGTTATTCTGTCTCTCACTGTTCAAATAAACCTACCATTAAAATTATAGACTGATCATTTCTTTGTCAGTGGGCAAACGTACAAAATCAGCAGGGGATCAAATACTTTTTTCCCTCACTGTACATACATACATACATATAAATACATATACATATATATATATATACATATCCCTTAAAAATATATATTTTCCTTTATTACTTTCTAACCCTACCACTCCTCCCCTAATTGCAGTAAACTAGTGAACAACAACGCTTATGCCTCTACTTCCAGCTTATACATACTATATACATTTTATGAACACAATCTATTTTACAATAATTATATTTTGTTTGATTTTTACTGCTGTCCTTCCTCTACCCTCAACCTCTCCCATCTATTTCTGATGTCCATCCGGTTTGATTTCTATTTGCCATATCTTTCAAACTGTGCTCTTTCACAACAGTTCTTAACCTATAACCTATATACTTTTTACAGGACACAGTTTGTTTTACATTAGTTATCTTGTTGTTATTAGTTGTATTTAGTCCCAACCTTCAGCTCCATTCAACCCCTCCCATCTATCTCTTAACACCATCCATATTGGATTTCTATTTCCATATATTTTTCAACTGTGCTGTGATGTTTCACAAAAGTTCTGAACCTTTCTATTCTCATTGTTTCTACAGATTGTAAATTGAAAATAGACATTTTTTGCTAAAAGTATTATTATATTATTGATCGATTGACTATGACTTTTCAGATCACCCAGTAGTGCTATTTGCAGGGTTAGCTCCAGGTAAATATTGCAATTCTTCAGCCATTCCTAGACCTATGACCAAAAACAAGCTACATATGGACAGTACCAAAACAAATGATCTAATGATTCTGCCTCTTCGCAGCAAAATATATGCAGAGCTGGGAAGGTTGTATCCCCTATATAAATAACATTCTATTGGTTGCAAGAATTTTGTATAATAATTTAAATTGAAAAATTCTAAGTTTTGAATGCGGCGTCGTTTTGCATATCAGTTCATAAAGCATGTGCTATGGAATCGGTACGTCAAAAATCTCTTCCCAACTATTTTGTAATCTATATGGCACGGCTGTCAATTATTTGGTCCTTAAATGAAACTGGTATACTTTTTTATTTATCATAATTTTCTTTAACCAATTATGATCTTTAATGCAGGGCCGGGGGAACTTACAGCTTTATTATTTCTGTCAGCCCGTACCAGTGTACCGTTCAGACAAGGCTCCACGTAGTGCATCTCCTGATTGTACTGTGAACACATATGGAGAGGGTTAGATATGAGTGGAATGATACATGAAACACACACACTCACACACACACACACACACAGACACAGACACACACACACACTCACACACACGCACACACACACGCACACACACACACACAGACACACACACACACTCACACACACACACAGACACACACACACACACATGCACACACACACATCATATTTTACTCAGATAAACCGATAAGTTTAATACGCTAAGGGCAATACATTCAGCAGACACCCACAAACACACACACACACACACCACCACCCCTCCCAACAAACACACACACACACACACACACACAATCCCACCCCCACAAACAGGTCATTAATGAGACTGACAGCGATGATGTTGAAGAAGTCATCGTCTCCCAGTGTGTCCAGTATAGAGGAGACAGTCTGTCTGGCGATGGTCAGTCTCAGGCCCTTCATACTGCCACTAACGTCCACCAGGATCACCACGTCTTTAGGAGACGTCGCTGCCTGGATGTACCTGAGCATGGAGGGATGACAGACTAGTATCCACACACTAGCCAAAACATTGGTTCTATCTATCCATTAAATAAATGGGGGTATATCAAGTGTAGCATAACAACACACAATCTGTGATTGGGATCAATGGACTGTAGCGGAGCCAAAGCAACACACAACAAATGGACAACGTACGCGACAGGGGTCAAGACTTGCCATGCTGTACACTGCACAAATGTCTTGATATGGACATCATATTGTAGACTACATAGCAAGAGAAGAAGCCATGTTCTAATTGGCTAATGTTGACCTATTGTGAAAAGGCATACCACTTCCTGTTCCTGCAGTCGAAGGCAATGACCCCGTGTTCGTCTGGATGCCATTTGACCCCTGCAACCATGTGGAGAAAGAAATGAAGCTACAGTAGATACACAAAGCACCATGTTCAAGTCATACAGAGTGTAAGGATGTGCCAGAGTCAACTGTGGACTGCACATTGCCTGTAGAAATGGGGGTTCAATAAGCAGGGTTGTCTCTGTTTCTTTCATTGCTACTCAATAAAAATGAGAAAGGAGAGTCAGGTCTACGGATGTCAGATCCCTGAAGGGCACAGTGCTATGCTTTTATGTCCTACACTCTAAAGCCGCATTCACATTACTGAGCAGTCTGGATGTCATTCATTTCAATGGGGATCGTCCGCAACGGAGTGGAATCGCAGCGCCCCCTTGCGGTTGAAGGCTCCTTTGCGAAACGGATGTTGCATTCTTAGAATTTGTCCAAACTTTGCGTCGTCTGCAGTGCAGCCAGAGAAGAAGAGGCGAAGCGAGAGGGATAACTGGGTCCAAAATCTGTGTTCTCCAGCAGGTGGCGTTTTTTGGGGGGTTTTTCGCTCACCAAGCGAGGTGTTTTTGTATGGAGGTCAAATGAGAGTGTCAAATTTAGTTAACAAAACATGTAATGGTATATTTTCTACATGGTGGCTTATTTGATCGAATAGAAGTTTCATAATGATTAGGTTGTTATGAGTGTACTGATATAAGTAGGACACGTGACAACCTGACAACTTTGAGAAAAACCCATTTATATCAGAGTTGTGCCTGATCGTCACTAGTTACCACAGACACAAAGTCATAAACACCACCTATTTCTACAGTTTCTCTTCTTAAAATGTTAACCTTATTCCTAACCCTAACCTTAAATTAAAAACAAAAAGCAACAACAAAAAAATACTATATAGCCAATTTTGACTTTGTGGTTGTGGTAACTATTGTAAACCGTGGTGCCTATTGTTCACACACATATCTGCCATCTCATTGGCTAAAATGGTCCCACCTGATCTTGCCTCCTCCCGACTGCCTTCCATTTATTTTCATTGTTATAGCGGCCACTAGAGTATCTGGTCAATATAATGGATCATCTGTGTTGCAGCCAGAGTTGTCAATAGAACAGGAAGTTCCCAAACCACAGAACAAGATGAAAATATGTGGTTTTCGGCAATGGCTTTATGGGATAGCTAGCAACTTTTAAACAATTACCCATTCCTATAAGTGAATACTATTTGAATAGCAATGTTAAATGGACTGTTGCCTCCCATTTTAGTTTATTGTGACGGTAATGATGTTTGTTTTTTATTACAATTATTAGGTGGTGGTCATTAGCTACACTATCTCCAACCTAGCCTAGCTTTTAGCTAGCTACCTGCTCTGTTAGCTAGCTTGACTTGCTAGAAAGTTAGAGAAACAAGTTGAGGAAAAACATAACTAAACAAAACGTTTAATTATCACCTAAAACAATATGTGTCTCCTGTCTTGAATGAAAAGGTCATATTTTACAATCTCCCAAAATAAATGCTATCTCTGATGAGAGACTAGGCTTTCTTCCATCTTGTCTTGTGTTGTGAAACCCTATGCTCTCGGTCCAGTAGCGGAACGAGATTGCGTGAAGATGACGTACGGCGTAATGAAATACGTCCCGATGTGTACAGGGTATAACACTACTCTAGTCTCAACTATGCAGGACATTATCCACAGTCATCCACAGTGGTGAATGACTTTAAATGATATGACTGCAATGAGAAGGCACACATTTCTGTATCACCATTTATAGCTCATCTTCTTGGTGTTACGGAAGGTTATACTACTGCAGTCAGCATTGTGGCTGTCTGATGGTGCTGTAATGATCCCATATGTCTGACTGCCATTGCTCTGGACTGCTTTGTAGTATGTTGCTGCTGGACTCACACATTCTGATTAATTTGCTATATGCATCCTCTCTGATGGTCTGTAAAATTACAACATTAGCAAAATCACCCTTGTAGTGATTCCATTTCATTTCCCCCCATTTCATACAGTGACTGCTCCCTGCACCTCCCCCACGCTCATATACCCACACACTTAGACACGCACACACACACAACTCACCGGGATACTGCCTAAAGAAGCCCTTGGCACTTCCAAAGTACTGCCATATCAGGGACGGGTCTTTTTCAAAGTTATCCACAAACACTTTATTCAAGGCCTCCGACCAATACACTCCATTCACTATGGCTGGATCTGAGAGAGAGAGAGAGAGAGATGAGAGAGAGAGAGAGAGAGAGAGATAGAGAGAGAGAGATATCGCTAGAGAGTCATAGTCTATCATATCCGGAGAGCGATCTCTTTCTCTCTCTAGCTCTCTCTCTCTCTGCTCTCTCGCTTCTCTCTTCTCTCTCTCTCTCTCTATCAGTCCATCCCTAGAAAGAACATAGACCAGGGTAGGCGGGGAAAGAGAGAGGGGAAGGAGGGAAGAGAGCGACAGCGTGAGAGAGATAATAACCAGGTAATAATGATCTTCACCATTAACACAGAACACAGGTGTGCTGGACCGTTAAGCTTTGGCCCTTATTGACCCCCCTGGTGGAGGGACAATGAGGCATGGCCTCCACATACACACGCACACGCACAGAGACACACACGCACAGAGACACACACGCAAAGAGACACAACACACAGAGACACACACGCACAGAGACACACACGCACAGAGACACACACGCACAGAGACACACACGCACAGAGACACACACGCACACACAAAGAGACACACACGCACACACACACACACACAGACACACAGACACACACAGAGACACACATGCATGCACAGTCACACACACAGCCAGAGCAGAGGCTGATCCTGTCAGGGAGCCTCCCATTGTACCAAGAACAAAGGGAGAGTGGGGAGCACTGAGGAGGCCATTACATCCAGAGAAAAGTCAGCCACGGCTACACAGAGAGGCGACACTGGCTGACTGGGCTAGAAAACAAATAACAGCTGAACAGTCATTCACTGCAAGAGAAATAACCTCATCCCTTCCTCTCTCCTCTCCCCTCCTTCCTTCTCTCCCTTCTCTCGTCACTCACTCCAATGTCTTTGAAAGGCCTGTAGTGTTACTGCTCTCTCTATCTTTGGGCCATGATGGATCCCCCCACCCTCCAGTGATACTGATACTGACACAGCTAGAGCATCACTTCATTCTCACCATGCAGTGTTGAGGTCCATTCCATTCCATTGAAAATGTCAGTTGTTTTAATTTGAATCTGAATTTGTTTCCCGAATTTACATGAAATTGACCACAAATCAGATTCTCACACAATTCAATTCAATATATTTGTATTATACAACGAAGGGCAACTCTGTTCCTGCCATGCACCCACGCTTAGCTCATCTCTTGTGGGCATGGTCCTACTTTTTTGATATCAATATTTGCACACAGTGGTCTCTGAGTGTCCCTACCTTAGTTGTAAATGTTGGTGGGCACCTGGACCACAACGAGGCTTAGATCTACCCCTACACTTTATTTCCAGTGGGCTCTGTTGGGTGTTGGTGATGGTGTGTGCTGTTGAACGTACCTTTGTTGTACACGTTGGTGTGTGTTGTTGAACGTACCTTTGTTGTACATGTTGGTGTGTGTTGTTGAACGCACCTTTGTTGTACACGTTGGTGTGTGTTGTTGAACGTACCTTTGTTGTACATGTTGGTGTGTGTTGTTGAACGCACCTTTGTTGTACACGTTGGTGTGTGTTGTTGAAATAACCTTTGTTGTACACGTTGGTGAGTGTTGTTGAACGAACCTTTGTTGTACACGTTGGTATGTTTTGTTGAACGTACCTTTGTTGTACATGTTGATGTGTGTTGTTGAACGTACCTTTGTTGTACACGTTGGTGTGAGTTGTTGAACGTACCTTTGTTGTACACGTTGGTGTGAGTTGTTGAACAAACCTTTGTTGTACACGTTGGTGTGTGCTGTTGAACGTACCTTTGTTGTACACGTTGGTGTGAGTTGTTGAACGTACCTTTGTTGTACATGTTGGTGGGCACCTGCACCACACTGAGGCTGAGGTTGACTGACAGGTTGTTGAAGTGGTCGTTGGGTTCCAGGACGAACTCTCCTCCCAGCTCCACGTTGTTGCCCTCCTCATCCACCTCGTTGATCAGCACTGCGTTAAAGTACTCATACTGGGGAGGAACAGACACAGTGCAGATATATAGAGTTAAAATCCAATAATCAGACCAGTGCTGCATTGAAGTACTCACACTGATGAGGGGAAACAACAGAATGAACATTCAACTCAACAACCAGTTTCAGTAGCCTTATAGCTATAAAGTGGTACTTTATTTCTCTTGACAACCCAGACAATGACGAGAAAAACACACAAGTGTTACATAAAGGGACATGAGGTCAAAGTACATTAGAGCTGCATTTAGACTGTGTATTTATACAGTAAGTAGAGTCAAGCTCAGCACTTTCTTGGATAGGTTTCATATGGAGTGGAAGGTACAGTGTAGCAGACTAGCAGTGGTGGTTAGCTCTGGTGCTCAGCACTCTGGACGATGAGGGTTAAGAGAACAATCAGACTTTTCTAAAGTGTAACTCTGCCGTGTGATTGGCCTGTCCTTCACAGTGCTGAACCCCTGGACCTGCTTAGAGGAGAGACTCTCTCATTCTATCTAAGCAGGACGGCTCTGGCTGTGGACTGACGGGCCCCCTGTTTGCCAGCGTGGTGCTGGGGGGAGGGATGGAGGGAGGGAGCGGGAGAGAGGGAGGTGTGATGGACTCTGTGGCGTACTCGGGGAAGGCCACGCCGGCATCACCATAAAGCAGGGTCTGACAGCTCATACCACGGCTGGGCGCCCCTCTGACTGGCCGAAGCGGGAGGAGGGGAGGAGGGGAGGAGGGGAGGAGGAGAGAAATGTGCACGCTCAGCAGAAGTGATAGTGCTGTAGAGAAAGAGGGCCGTTAACCATCAGGGTTATTACTGTAGTGTAGAGCAGGAGTAGAGCAGGGCCAGGCTGGGCAGGGGACACTGCGGCTCCACGGCCGAGACGCTCCACTGACTCTTCATGTAGGTTACTGTACACCACTGCAGAGAGATTGGGCCTACACTCTTAGAAAAAAAGGTGCTATCGAGAACCTAAAAGGGTTCTTGGGTTGTCCCCATAGGAGAACCCTTTGAAGAAATGTTTGTGGTTCCAGGTAGAGCCATTTCCACAGAGGGTTCGACATGGAACCCTAAAGGGTTCTACCTGGAACCACAAAGGGATTCTACCTGGAACCATAAAGGGTTCTCCTATGGGGACAGTCGAAGAACCCTTTTGGAACCCTGATTTCTAAGAGTGTACTGTACCAGGGCTGGCTGCATAGGCAGGCATTGGTAGGTCTAATTCCCTTTTCACATTATTGTGCAACCCTGAATTTTCACAATATCCTTTCCAGCATGGTTCCATGCAGCAACTATGGATGGATACTTAACCAGGCCAGGCGCAGTACAGCTTGGCATAGCTTGGCTTGCCTCAGTAGTGTATAAAGGGTATAACTGGTCTAAACCCGGGCTGACTTGGCTCATGTGTTGCCTTCCTTACTCGACCCCATCTTGGAGGTCAATATACCACCTATGAGAGTGTCTTATCAATCTCTCTCAAGTCTCTTCAAGGAGACCCCTTGCTCCATAGTGACCATTTGATCCTCAGACTGAAGGTAGGCAGCCAGAATTACTGAGACTACTCTGCAATAGTTACAGACTTCACACAAAGGTTTCAAAAATACTGTCTGTAGAAAAAGACTGTAGATTAATAAATGTAATGATTTATACAGACCTATGTTATAATATTATTTCCCAGCTATAATCAATCCCTCTGGGCACACACTGGTTGAATCAACTTGGTTTCCACGTCATTGCAATGAAATTACATTGAACCAATGTGGAATAGACTTGAATTGACATCTGTGCCCAGTGGGATGTAACTTTGTTTAGATTTTTTATGTTGAAGCAAACATACTGTAGCCTATATGTAGCCTACTTTATCAAGTGGAAATTCAAACTGACGAAAATGAGGCTACATAAAAACCTGCGTTAAGGATATTAGATCATTTTATAACATCAAACTCTGTGACGCATCATTTAATCAACCTCTTGCCGTTTGCTGACACCATGCATTTTTCACGCACCATTTCCCGAGTTCACTCTTGTCTCGTTTTAAGACGGTGTAGTGTTTTACATTGACCCGTGTTAGGCTATACAGCCAGGGTTTAAGCGCGTGCAGGTGACGTGTGTGACTGCATGGTATACCGCAAGGTGAACTCTCTCAAACACTGTATCCGCTCAGTAGCCCCTAGGTTATCGATAACAGATCCCACAAAATAATAATGTATTTTTATTTTATGCTAGATGTTTCTCTGGCATTTTGGTTTTAATGTTAAATAGGAGATACATGTTTTGTAAGCAGTAGAAGTTTATGAGGCTTTAAAATAGTTTGGCTACTTTTGCTGATAATAAATATATATGAGGCATTTTTTGCCGTTCATTGTAGACTATGCTTTGAAGAAAAAAATATGGTTTAGCCTACTCTAGAACTTTTAAATCAACGATTAGCAATTCTGAAAATCTTTCGGAACAGTTTTCTAAAGAGACGGGGAGCTGCGGAGTAGCCTACCCTAGATTTTTACAATGAAGAGTAGGCGTTAGGATTTTTACAATGAACATGCGGGCATGAAGTTGCAGCAAGTTCACTGTAACATAAGTAGACTGAATAGAGCCTAAAGGAAAGAACGAAATACATTTGTTGACAGAATAATAACCACGTGAGAGATCGATGCACATTATTCGGCTCAGGCTGTATCGCATAGCGTTAACAATCTCATAGCTTTAACAAAGGGATGAATTTGGTCACCATTTCAAATAATACTAAACAATGCTTCTCTAAAATAGTAGCCCTGTTAAGAATGCACTAAAATATCAGCTAAACAATCAGTAATAGATTGTAAGCATGTGTAGATATTTTAAATGTGTAGGCCTGTGCTGTAAATGCAGCATATGTGTAGCCTTCTGTAGAACTAAATATAACACCCATTAAAAAAACAGGAAACCATTTTCTCAATGACAATATGCTATTAAATCATAAAACAATACAATAATGTTGTGTACATAATTGCATTGTTATAAAGAACATGAATATCACCACAGCAAGGAACATACATAATCATCTGGTCACATTTAATCCGAGTGTTATCCCCAAACTGTTAAAAGTGCAGAGTAATGAAGAATAATAACATTGAAATATGGAGAAGGAAATTCGGTCCTACAATGGTAATAATGACCTTCTCGACCTTCTTCCAATACGTCCATATAATCACCCGAGAAACAAAACCTGCAAACCATGGGGTGATCACAATGTATTCATAACGTAAATGCGTCTATTAACTGGGAAGTGTGGCGCCATTATTTTAAAGTGTTTTGTTGCCCGAGTGAGTTTCCAATCTTCAGGAGGAAAAGTGGAACAATGCACTGTGCATAAGAGTTTCATTAATCTTTGTCTACTGGAAAGAGGGAGAGAGAGAGGGAGAGAGAGAGAGAGAGAGAGAGGAAGAGAAAGAGAAAGAGGGAGGGAGGGTCCTGTACATTCTCAGTGTTACAGAATTACTGCAATCCCACCGCATAGGAAGAGGAGGCTCACTGCGCCAAGGAAGAAGCCAGCAATAACAGCTAGGTTAATGTCATTTAAAGAGCACAATGATCTGGGCTGAGCTGTACAATACACCTGCATGGAAAGTTGGAAACCACACCTGAACACATGTCGCAGCACACACAATGGGAATATTGTATTGTCTCAAATTCCATAAATGTATGAGTATTTATGAATGTATGAATATTTCATGTATGAAGTTAAAATAACCCAAAGACACAGCTGACTGTTGTAGCATGACATCCAATCATTTTTCTGTCCTGCATTGCTATGCTTCGTGATATGTTAGAAGACAAATACATCAATGTTCCTTGAGTGTGAAATTGCATTTAAGATTTGTCAAAAGAACAAGTACCCCATTATTGCTAATGGTGCAGTTATAGTACATTATGATATAATATGAGTGCATTGTGGTTTGTCAGTGGGCGCTGAACTTGAATACTTGACTTGTGTTTTTCCCAATAGCAGTTCTCGCCACTCCCTCTTCAACAGTTGCAGTCACAGGCTACTTATGAATGATGATTACGCTTTAAAATAATCTGTGCATTATGACGGTATGGCGTTCTTCAATGTGCAGTATGCAGTGTTGCTTTTTAAAAAGGCATTATTGATCATCACAGTCACAGGGTATTAATGTGAAGGACTTTCAATGCCAACAGCCACTATACTGTCCCTATCCCCTTCTGTCACCTTGTTATAAATTGTATCCCAAATAGTTCACTATATAGGGATGGGTACCCCTTCTATATTTTACACTACTGACTGTATCTCTGTCTTCTACACTTCACCTTATCCCGATGTCTTTCCTTTTTCACCCCTCTCTTCTTTTCTCTCTCGTTTCTCTCTCTTTTCTCCCCCCCACCCCCCACCCGTCTCACCTGCAGCTCTGGGTTCTCCTCGTGCTGTAGATGGGCCTCCTCTGCTGCCTCCACCAGCCGCTGAAGGGGGGAGATAAGGGGGAGATAGGGGAGGGGAGGGGTGGAGATGAGGGGAGGAGGACAGAGGGGAAGCATCAGCACACCGGCTTTACTCTAAGTCATCACCCATGATCAAGAGTTATTTGACCCCCGACAATGTCAGACGGTCTCAGTAGCTTCTAGTCTCAGCCAGCCTTCTGCAGGAAGGCAGTACGTCTGCAGTAACAGAGGGCCAGAGAGCTGAGGGCTAAGGAATGGCCCTGCCTGCCTGGCTGTTTGGAGCACAGAGACACGAGCCTGCTCTACAGTACTCCTCCTGCAGCTCTGGGCAGGGGACAGCCCAAGCCAGTCTCGGACATAAAGAAGGGACCAACAGAATATTTAGTCCATTCTCCCTTCCATGTCTTGCACTATTCTATACATTTTCCCACATTTATATATTTCTGAAAACTAATGGTTAGACAATTTGCTGTGTTGCGTTACTTTTCATATCGGTGTCCTATTCATATATATGCTTCGTGATTCATTAGAAGACAAATCAACGTTCCTTGAGGGTGAAATTGCATTCAGAACTTGTCAAAAGAAGAAGTACCCTATTATTGCTAATGGTGCAGTTATAGTATATTGTGATATTATATGAGTCCCATTGTGGTTTGTCAGTGGACGCTGACCAGGGTGTTGAATTTACACTTGTGTTTTTCCTAATTGCGGTTTACCGAAACTGTCGCCACTCCCTCTTCAACAGGCAACTTATGAATGATTATAGCGATAATTTGATTATTTAATTATTTAGTGATGCTCATGCTCTTTGGTGGGTGGTTATATTCTTAATCCACTTCAAATGATATTCCTGATTCTCCCCTCCCAGGATAGGGTTTCTTCAGCACAGTTATATCAATAACGTGCCTCAAACGAAAGACTCGCTTGCCGCTGGAAACAACATGAAAATCGTAGCAATAGGCCTATATTCTGTAATATTTTTCTGTGATAAGAATTTCCCAATCACATAGGCTACTGTAGGCCTAAGTCTATATGTCTACCTCGAAAGGCACCCACAGAAATATGTGCGTTCAGTGAGATGATTGATTGGCATATTGCCAAGTGTATAACCGGATCGCACAACACGCAACACCCTATATAGCCTACATTATTCCCCTCCTTGAAATGTGCTTGCCTGCGTGAGAAAATGCAGGCTGAACACCACAGTCATCGTCGCCGTTCTGGAACAGGTCATTAATAACTGTCCAGCACATCAAAATAACTGCAACGCAAACAAAAATGTCAGCATGGCATGGCGCAAACTCTTTTGTGACAGTTAAACTTAATTTATTTTCATACCTTTGCGTTTTAGTCTTAGATGGTGTCGTCAGCAATACAGCCATATTGAAATAAGTAGGAAACCTCAAGCCGCTAAATGTAAACAGATTTTTATTCAGGCCTAGGCTATTTTTTTATGTGCAAATGACAAGATGCCAACATTTGCTATAGGGTGGTCTTTCAAACCATATCAAATGAGTCTTATTGCCGAAAGGCAATTTCAAAACAGGTAGCCTACCTCGTAAACAAAATATGCAAGGCTCACAAGGACTAGGTCAATATCATAAACACGAATTGCATTGTAATTGTTTAATTTTCATTTCGAATAGGCTATGCCACGACGCTGGTATAATGTGTCAGTTAGTGATTATAGGTATTTCCTTAACTGGATATAACATCTCGACTGCTGCCAATTGAAAAATAGGCTATCTGTAATTTTTTTCACACTACAAAAAAAAAGACGTAAACGAATGCGATTTTTATCATTTTCATCTGACGAATATAGGCCTCATATACATTTTAAATAGGCCTAGGCAATTTAGTAGCCTAGGCTACATTCAAATAATGAATTTGTTTACACAGAAAGCATTAGTCCAATTTACAGCACTGCAACACACAGATTGAAATGCTGCCTAATAAATAGGCCTAGAGAATGGTAAAGGCAATGGGCCCACAATGTAGAATTACAACCATCAGGTAATAGAGTCCGGCGCGGGGAGATCTGGCGGTGCGAGATAAACGCTATCATCTCACACCACTCAACTGGGGTTAACTATTAAAATAGGCTACTTGCACCTCTCCTCTCAGGCCCAATTTACATTTCCAACGGCTATATATCTGTCTCAGGAGAATGCCTTGTAGTAAATAGCATATGGCCGCTGGATAAAATGCAACACTAGTGTAATTTAAACCCGTGTTATGAATAGACATGCCCACCACCGAGGACGGAAAACAAAAAATACATTTCTGACCACTGAAATATGCTTACAATTGGTTATAACAGCTTCATGATCATGGATAGGCCTATAAGGAAAATGCCCTAAGATGCTAAATGTGATAATAATAATAATAATAATAATAATAATAACAATAAATCTAGATCATTTGTTGATCATTTCTATAGCCTTAAATCTAGATTTTTTTCTAACCCTGCTTGCGGTGCATGTCTGCAGCTGAGGCTGAGAAATAACAGAAAGTTTGATATTTTTCTGAATGACTTCTAAGTCTCCTACTCTCAGTTGTCTGCATTAGGCTTACTTCCAGAAAACATAGCCTAATGCACTTGAAGGGTAGATAAAATGAAAGATATGAGACGATACATACCAGCATGGCCACCTTTTTCATCCGGAACATTTCCTCCATCTTCTTTGCTAGAGTTTTGACCACTTTCATGCCATCAATTTCTTCCACTCGGACGGACTTTTCAAATTCTTTATATTTCTGTAAATGACAGAGAAAATATATATGTTTTAACTCTAATATTTTGATACTGAACGAATCATCATCTCACGTTTGTGCAAAGTTGACATACTAATATTACAAACTGAGGCTTGTAGGCTATGTCATTTACTTCACTGATAAACATGTGAATAAAATGTGAACATGTTACAATTACCGACAAAACATAAATCAAAGCTAATGAAATCAAAGTTTATTGGTCACGTGCACAGGATATAGGGTGTAAATGGTACAATGGTAAAACGGTTCAGAGAGCGTGTGTGTGTGTGTGTGTGTAGTGGACGAAAATCACAAGAACATTTAGAATATACTGTACATCTCATGTCAATGGGTTTTTATTGGGGGGGGGGGGGGGGGTAAGCCAATGTGCCCTGTGTTTTAGTAACAGATAAGGTGAGGTGAGCCTTTGCGCTATCTGTTATTCCATGCACACACACACACACACACACACACACACACATACACACACACACACTTCACATCCAATGAAGAAAAATCCCCCAGCTCTCATATCCCTGCACCTCTGGAACTAGCAGAGTCAGTGTAACAAGCCCTCCCACTGGGCGCACACTGGTTGAATGAACGTTATTTTCACATAATTTCAATGAAATTACGTTAAACCAAAGTGGAATAGATGTTGAATTGACGTCTGTGCCCAATGGGCTCCCATGTCTCAGAGAGTGGCTTGCAAGCCCCAGCCCAGTCTCAGATGATTGGCTGATAAGATGCGTCCTGTTTCATTGAATTGATTGATAGGTTATCTTGTCTCAGTAATTAGCTGACAAGCTGTGGCTCTGGATCTGATTGGCAGCTGGGTGGCCTGGGAGGGAAGGCCATGCACGGTTGGATGGTAATTGAAATGGAGTCAAAGCACAGGAGAAAGATAATAACATGTCAGGCTTGGGAGGTTCTGGATAATGAACTAGACTTCACACAATGCTGAGTCTGCAGGATACACTACACCTGCACTGGGACAGAACAAAGCCCAACAGAACACACAAAAAGAATAGAACATAACATTGAAAAAAAGGTAGCACACAGTCACACACAAAATAATAATCACAGTATTACCTGCACGTCTCTCACGTCCCTCACACACACACGCTCACGTGCGCACACACATACACACACACATGCACGCGCACGCACGCACGCACACACATACACACACACACACACACAAATTCCAATGATACACATTCAAAGAAAGAAACACAACACATACATACACACACACAAATCCCAATACATGAGGCAACAAATTACCCAGGGAAAGGAAGAGTGTGTACCGGCAGTGGAGCGGAACAGTTCATTTCACGCCTGTCCTCCCTGCCTCAGCAACCCCCCCACCCCCCCAGTCATCGTGGAGAGGTTAAACCCCACCCATCAATAGAACTGATTATGATTATTGATTAAGGTAATGACTGATGTGTAGATGAGGCCTGACCGAACCCAAGCCTGAGGAGTCAACACACACACACATGCACACACACCACAGCGTCTTCATTCTGTGTCTATAGTCCTGTTCTGTTGCCCATACAGCAGCTCAGCCCTGTGTGGAAAACGTATAATTCCCCATAAAGCACCCAATGATCATCCTTAATGATCAGCCCTTACCATCCAGCTGTATCTCTCTCTCCACCTCCCTCACTGGCCGCTAAGAGAGGAAGAGGCCTGCTGATTGGATGTAAGGTGTTCTGAACCAGTCATGCTTCCATGAACGGGAACATGAGGAAAGTGCTTACACACGCAGAAAGGAAAACAACTGCCGGGGACATTTTACCTCAGAGTGTTCTGTTCTTACACAGGTCAATGGAGAATCAGCTGAGGATGTTACACAGTCAAAATAGTAGGCAGATGTGGGGTGTATAATTGTTTTCTTTTTTGAAGTACACTCTCATCCAACACACACTCACACACACACAAACACACACACACACACACTACCCATATATTGCTACAGCAGTGTGTAGATTGCTAGCACTAGCAGTGTTAATGGTTATAGAATTGCAGCAGCAGCCTGGTGCTGAGCTGAGCTCCTCCTTATCACACACATGCAGTGAGGCTGAGGAATGGAGTTGGACGGGGATATTTATCTCCTTGCATTTATCACCACTGAGTTCACACACACACAATCACACAACATAACACACCACCACTATACAGTATACTGTATGCACTGTAGCAATGTAACAGATCAGGGTCGTATTAACTAGAAACCAAATGGAAGAAAACTGACTGAAACAGGGAGGGATTACCTGAACTTGTCCAATAAGAAACTCTCATTTTCATTGCAAAACGTTTTCCATTGCAAAACTGTTTGCTACGGTTTATTCCGGTGTGCACTAATGAATACGACCCATGTTTCCGTCTCTCTCTGGTCATTCACTGTTTCTGTCTTTCAATCCAACTCATTTTTAAACCCCTGCAGTTCTGGAATGATATAATTACAATTCATTTCACTGTTAAATTAATAGCGCAATTGAAGGTAATTGAGCATAAAAATCAGTAGGAATAAAATGATTGTCTACATCCAGGTTTATGCGCCGAGGGCAGAATTCCAATTCGATCTGCCTGCGTACTTAACTCAGACTGTCCGATAAAGTGTACACATTAGTGCCCAGTTCTAATCCTGTGTGTATAGTACAGTATACAGTGTCTTCAGAAAGTATTCACACCCCTTTACTTTTTCCACATTTTATTGTGTTACAGCCTTGATTAAATTGAGATTTTGTGTCATACAATACCCCATAATGTCAAAGTGGATTTTGTTTGTAGAAACATTAAGAAATTAATAAAAAATGTAAAGCTGAAATTAGCTATAGCTAGCTGGTAGCTTGCTAGTTAGCTCCCATGCCAATTTCAAGTCTTTCTAAACTCATATCTGACTAATGAATGAACATTAACTGGCTAGCACATCATACTTTGTGACATTATGTTAGCTATCTATTCCCAGTTAGATAATGTGTTTTCACTTATTGCATCTGCGTGCTTGTTGCAATCTCCCTGGTGTACTCGTTCATTCGTGAACTGGCTGCTCTAATCTGTTCAAAACGGTGGCAGCATGTGCAGGAGTGGTCATTCGGTTTTTGACATGCAAAAGTGAAATAGGTGTATTTATACTGTTGTTCAAATGCTCAGATCGCTTCATTTATCTTCTCAAATAAACTACCGGTAGGTCGAAAACTTGGCATCATATTTCTGTCATGCTGCTTGGTTGACAACTCCAACCATCTGGTGCCCCGGGTATTCAGCCAATCAGCGGCTGCCACTGGACTTCACCAGTAGGCCAATGGTGATTTTAAAACAGTTACGGAGTTTAATGGTTGTGATTTGAGAAAACTGAGGATGGATCAACAACATTATAGTTACTCCACAATACAAACCTAAATGACAGAGTGAAAAGAAGGAAGCCTGTACAGAATACAAATATTCCAAAACATGCATCCTGTTTGCAACAAGGTACTGCAATACTGCACAAAATGTGGCAAAGAAATTGACTTTTTGTCCTGAATACAAAGCGTTATATTTGGGGAAAATCCAACACATCACATCACTGAGTACCACACTTCATATTTTCAAGAATGGGGCTGGTACCTGTACAATACAGGAGTCCAAAGCCCTCAGAGACATACCCAAAAAGACGCACAGCTGTAATCGCCCCCAAAGGTGCTTCTACAAAGTATTGACTCAAGGACGTGAATGCTTATGTAAATTAGATTTTTCTGTATTCCATTTTCAATAAATTTGCAACAATTTCAAAAAACATGTTTTCTATTTGTCATTATGGGGTATTGTGTGTAGATGGGTGAGAAAAATAATCCATTTAATCCATTTTGAATTCAGGCTGTAACACAACAAAATGTGGAGTAAGTCAAGGGATATGAATACTTTCTGAAAGCACAGTACATAGTGCTCAGACTTCATAATGCCCATAACACTGACCACATTGCCAAGAGAACACAAATGCTGTTATTTTACTGTAACCTATCAACATTACAAATACACAAACAATAGATTATCAATGGGAACTGCATGGAACACATCTTATGTGCCCTTCCTGAAGTACGGTGGCGTAACTGTGAGACACACACAGGTCCAGCCAGAGCTCTGGGTCCAACATTAGAGTTGCAAAATTCTGGTTCATTTTCGAAGATTCACAGATTTTCCAGATATACTGGTTGGAAGATTCCCAATTTCCTGCTTATTCCCTTCTTATTCCTTTAATCTTCCAACTGGGATTCCTGAAAAACTGGGAATTTTGGGAAAAATACCGGAAATTATCAACACTATCCAGCATACATTGCCTCCACTTGGATGACAGGTGCTGTAGTGTACACACCATAACCTATTTTCACACTGGAGAGCCCACGTATGCCCCCAAGTGGTCATGTACTTTCACTTAGGGGTTTTTCTGCAAACCCATCTCTCTTTACCTCTCTCTCTCTTGTTCCCTCTATCTCCTCCCCCCCCCCCCCCCTCTCTCTCTCTCTTGTTCCCTCTATCTCCTCACCCCCTCTCTCTCTCTCTCTCTTGCTCTCTCTCTTGTTCCCTCTATCTCCCCCCCCTCTCTCTCTCTCTCTTGTTCCCTCTATCCCCCCCTCTCTCTCTCTCTCTCTTGTTTCATCTATCTCCCCCCCCCCCCTCTCTCTCTTGTTCCCTCTATCTCCTCCACCTTTCTCTCTGAACCCCACCTATCGCCTCCAAACCCATCCCAGCCTATTCCACTCCACACACTTTTTAAAAATGTGTCTCCTTGTCGCATGTATATCCTGGGGTTGAAACTCTTGACTCCAGAGAGTGAACTGGAAATGAGATTAGAGACGAAACAGTGCTGTGGTTAATGGGCCATGTCCAGCACACACACACACACACACAGAGACAGGCCTCTGAACCACACACCTGAGTCCTTTCTGACCAACATCCATATTTAGCTGGGACACAGAATTGTATCAGCAGCCATTAGAGGAGAATGCAGCATTACAGTGTACAGTGTGTGTGTGTGTGCGTGTGTGTGCGTGTGTGTGCGCGCGTGTGTGTGTGAGCTCACCATAACATGAAAGTGTGTGTGTGTGCGTGGACAGGAGTGAGTATAAAGAAGATTGAGGGAAGAAAGAGATACCTTCTGCAGCAGCTGGGATCCAGAGTATTTTGCAGAAATTGATTTAATTTCTCCACCAAACGCTGAGGCCCATAACTTCACCCTGGAAGCCAACAGAACATTTCTATATTGTGATATTTTGGTATTATAACAGTTCAGGTGAACACAGCTGACACGGTGAGATTACACACATTATGTCAGTAAGACATTTCAAAACAAATCTCTAACCATGAAATCATAGATCCATGGATATCTAGATGAAATCATAGATCCATGTATATCTAGATGAAATCATAGATCCATGTATATCTAGATGAAATCATAGATCCATGGATATCTATTGTCTGTGTGTTATATGGCTGGCCTGAGGATAAACTATGTTCTTGAAGATACTCCTGTTCTTGAAAAACCACAAGACCCTCATATAAGAAATAAATTGTTGAAGTGTGTTGAATTTGACCTGAGAGGACTGAGTCCATCAACAGTATGGCAAATACTCTACATTGTAGATAAGTATTTCATTCAATGTAGCTATTTATTCATGTTTATGTGGTGCTTATTGATGTGCTATAAACTGATGATCTATGTAGATAAAGTTGGTGCAAAATGTTGCCTAAGTCTTGCCAAGTAGCCTATAGATTGTTTCAGATGGTGGTGTCTCAATGCAGTCAGGGTTAACCAGGAAAACTAACATGGTATAATTGCATTATTTTGTAGAGTTGTTATTTTAGACATATGTGTATCAAAGACAACAGTCTGTATAAAATAAAGACATCTGTAGGCTACATTTAAATAGTGTGTACATGTCATTGATGTATTATTCATTTGTTAATCGTATGCTATTATTATTATGCCAGATATTATAGGGTAAAGAATAAGCCCATTTTTTAAAATGTATTTATTAGACACCAACACTAATAAATAATTTACATAAAAAATATATGATTATGATTATTGTTGTTGTTGTTACATTGTTATTACATGCTGCTTGTTTATAATTTTTTATATAACAAGTCTACTACTTACACACTTCAGGTAATCTAGCAGCTGAAAAACTCAACAATATGCAAAGGTATGATTTACCGAGTACCTGAAAGGTTGTAAGATATGAATATGAAACCTTCCACTCACACTGAGAGTGGAATCCCTTGCTGGGACCCCATCACGTCCACCACCGTGCCCAGCATAATCCAGAACAGAAGGAAGCTGGCGCAACACACGTGCGAAAAGAGGATCCTCGAATGCCACAGCATCTTCACGAGCCTTCCCGACAACCGATCCCGGTACAATGGCACACGCAAGCTCTTCTCTCTCTCGTCCCGAAAACGCACTCAGCGCGAAAAGCAGCACATACAGACCCGGCAGCACATTCGCGCCGCCTCCCTCGCGCCAGTCCCGCGTCCAAGGGGCCAGTTGTCACTCCTGAAGGGACCCGCGTGCTGAAGATGGTTGACCTATGAACATCCACACGAGCCCCACGCCGCCAGAGGGAGTGAGAGAGAGAGACTCACTTCAAGCCTCCGTGTCTGATAACATTACAATTTCTGTTATCGTGTCTGAAGCAAATTACGATATTCTCTCCTGGGGATTTTTCCAGATTTGCGGAGCTCAATCTAAAAACCACCTCAGCTGCTATCACAGAGAACACTGAGGGAGTAGGACGAGGTGTTGCCGGTAGAGCAACGAGCGAGAAGCAGAGCGCGAGAAAGCATGAGTGAAAAGGACCAAAATGTGTGTAGGGGGTAACCTATCTGCATCACTTGCTGTAAGAACCCCGGAAAAAGGTGAAAAGGTGAAAAAGTAAAATACAAAACTTTCATACGGGAGCGCGCGCGTGCATCACAGGGGGATTCAACGGGTTCATTCAAGGCAGTGCAGCGTGACTGATCGACACTCGCGCTTGGAGGAGAGACCACCATACCGAGAACATTACCGCTGAAACAAAATCCATTCCTGTGGCGCAGACATTCTGATTAAGCATGAGCGTTCTGGGCCTAGAAAAGCCTTTTCTTCCTACAGTCTTCCAGATGTGAATTTGATTAAAAATAGCTTTGACCTGCTTTTTGCTTCCTGCAGTGTTTTAGACGTTACTTTGTTGTTTGAGGCAGATTGCACCACCTGGCCTGCCGCTCGTTGTCTTTCAAGTCTTTCAAGATTGACCTATGCAATATGCACACCTTCCATTAAATCGACATGACTGATTAAGCGTAATTAGGCTAATCAAAGATCGATGTTTATGTCAAGACATTGGTAAGCTGGCCTAGTGGTATTCCGCTCTTACTTAGGCCTAATGCACAGGCTCCACATTTTAAGCGATTTTTTATGGCATTTTCATAAGTTGTAATTACTTACAGATAACCAAAGAGACTCAGCATTAAGTGCATGTTTTAGATGGGCTATAGCCACAATGCCATCAACTACTGCAGTGCATAGGCCTACGTGAATTACCATTACAAATTGTTTCAGTCAGCAAGACTAAATGCATATTAGAGTTAATGTTGGGAGTGGGCTAGCCCATAATATGGAAGATACAGGCCTATTAGCCTATATTTTTGAACCGGTCAATTACCAAACTCTCCTCTGTGAGGATGCCCTCTTAGGCCACATTGTCCAACACTGGTTTTAAAGCTCTATTTGCACTCACAGTTATGTCATTGGCCACTTTGTGTTTCAAACAGAACCCTCTCCTTTCTGAAGTCCTCGAGAGGTCCTCTTTCTAAACGCTGATTAGCGCGTGATAATGATGTCAAGGCGGATGGATCTCCCGTTTCAGCGCTAGGCCGTTATTAGCTTGGTAATTACGTCGTACATCAAAGGCGCGAGGAGCCTCTGCCAGGCTGGGAACGTGCTGATAAGGCGCATGATGATGGACAATATCAACCGCTACGGCACGCGGTCACAGCCTCTTCTCTGTCGGGGCCGCAATCACATCTAGTGCAAGGAGGGTCGCTGCTTTTAATTAACTATCGACTTCAAATAAAAAGTTAGCACCGCATTCCGCGACACTTTATCCGAGTTGCACTCAAGACCGGCGCCAGATAGGCCTTTTCAGTGCGAGTGATTTCGTTGAATTAAACTCCACTATTGGCAACAGACGGGGTAGATATAGCCCGTTAAACTCATAAGAACAGGGCATTGAATGACTCTCTTTATTAATTCCCCCTATATTACACTTCAAGAATTTAGAGTACCGTAATCCCATGTAGAAACAGCCTCGCCATTAATGAGCTGCCTCTATCAATAGAACTGTCCATGGTTCTGATTTCCCGCCTGTCATAGCAAAGCAGGACATTTTATTGGCGCCCAACACCGATATATTACATCACACACCTAATATCAGCCACTCTCTGTCTCAGTCTGTAAATTGATGTAGTTCTGTCCTTGAGCTGTTCTTGTCTATTCATGTTCTGTATTATGTCATGTTTCATGTTTTGTGTGGAAGAGTAGCTGCTGCTTTTGCAATACAATACAATACCAAATACCCTTAGATTGAGTGGTGTGGGCTCCTATAAACACTAAGAGAGTGTGAGAGACTTTATGTTGGAGTATGTATGGTGTGGAGGTGTGGGGCTCTCACATTACCACCACAAAGAGATTGTGCCAGCCTGGAAAAGGTGTTGGAGAGTGTGTGTGGGGTGTGTGTGTTCTTGGTCATTCTATAGCCTACCCATGATGCAGCGCCCAGCCTCTCTCCCCCCGAGGGCGAGGAGCTCCTGCCCCGCGCTGGATTATCACCCTCTCTGTCATCAGAGCGATGTTCACCGTACTGGCCATTGTGTTGAACTCCACGGTGATCGTGGTGTTGCTGATTAACAAGCAGCTGAGGCAGCCTCTGAACTATTCCCTGGTCAACATGGCCGTCGCTGACCTGGGGACAGCGCTGACCGGTGGGATTCTGTCTGTGGTCAACAACGCTCTGGGGTACTTCTCCCCTGGAGGGACCGGCTGCGTCATGGAGGGATTCTCTGGCTCTCGGAACTGTCTGGGATATAGAAATATAATGAGTAGAACGGACAAAGAGCCTTTGACCATGGAAATCTGACTGGAAAACTAATCGACATGGAAGACAATCATTTGGATTAGTTTCTTATGGCCATCTAGTTTAATCATTATTTTAATCAATTAATTATTTAACTAATAAAACGAATTGTCAATGAATTAATTAAAACGAGTTCTCCTAATGATTCTGTCATGTTAATCAATCAACGCAATCATCTTCAGGCAACGAAATCTTAAAGTTACACTAATATCCTGTGCCTTTAATTACAACAACAACAATATAATTTGCAAAATTGCTGTCTGGCTGGTACTGCAGGTACCATGTCACTGTGCACGGTAGCTCTCATTGCCATAGAGAGGATGTTTGTGGTGTGCAAGCCACAGGGACCTACAGTATCTCCTTTCAGACCAGGGAGAAGCTATACGAATTATGGACACGCCTAGTGACCAAAATTGATGACGTATGTCGTGCAGCGAGAGTTGAGTGGCAGACGAACAGGTTCGGTTCAGTCAATTCAGTCAGTCGTCCTAATGAGCCACTTCTTTTATACCTCAGTGAGCTAGTTTATGCTTGTGGCTAGACACTTCATCGAGAATTTGAAACTTGTTTGGCGAAGTTGGGAGTATTCAGAATCATTCCGTTTTTATCAGACTACTACAAAAGCAATCAATGTGCTTTAGCCTTCACCCTGGCCTGATATTAGCTACACTATCTAGCTACTTCCATCTAAGTTACTGCAGGACAGCAGTGCTCTGCAATCGGGACTCGGGATTGAAGGACAAACACTATGTTGTTGTGTTGCTGGCTTGCAGCACAAACTCTCCCCATTAAGCAGTATCACAGTGACATCCAGTAGCCTGGTTTTATAGACTAGACTTAACTTGTAAATGTAAATATGGGACACTCAAATTAGTATGAAATGTTATGTTTGGTATGGTTACATAAAACAGAAGGTTACTTAAGGCATAAACAAAAGGAGGGTCTAGCAACCTATAGGTTGTGTTCTAGTCTAATCACGGACAACTTCAGCATTTAAGCTAATTTGCACATTTTCAACTACATACCACTTTTTAGCTACTTTGCAACCACTTAGCACGTTAGCTAACCCTTCCCCTAACCCCAACCCTAACCTTAACCCTTTCAGTGAACCCTTCCCCTAACCCTAACCTTAACCCTTTAACCTAACTCCTAAGCCCAACCCCTAGTCTAGCTAATGTTAGCCAGCTAGCTAACGTTAGCATTAGCCACTGTCGTATCGAGTCAGTGGTGGCAATTATTGCTGATGAACAAAGGAGTCCGCTCATACTGAACGTTGATCATAAGGTTTATTCAGATCACAAGCTTCAGCATAAGTGACAGGTGACATGACACCCGGAGAACGGCGCCTCAGATTGGAATGTCCGTTCTGCCCTTTCTGTGTCTAGCCCCTATTTATAAACAATGCAAAAAGATGGGTGGCTCCCTCTTCTGGCCAATCACCAGTCTCCCCTGTCTACAACACTCTTCCTGTCTGTTGTATGTGGCGTTACACTAAAACATTCCCTCTTGATACTAATATCAACATTCTTTCAGTTCCACTTAAAAACATTTAACAACAGCATAATCCCAATACACGACACCACCTAGCCACCTAGCTAACGTTAGCCACAACAAATTGGAATTTGTAACATATCATACGTTTAGCAAATTCAGAACATATTGTACTTTTTGCAAATTCGTAACATATTGTACGTTATGCAAATTCGTAACATATTGTACGTTTCGCTAAATCGTAACATATAATACGAATTGTAATTCGTAACATATATGAAATGGATGATGGACATCCACCAATTAATACTTACCATACGAAATGTAACATATCATGCTAAATGGGGTGTCTCGGATTTCGTACAGAATAATACGAAATGCTCTGAGACCAGGTTGCATCCTGATGGTTACTACCAATATTGCAAGTTATTTATTGTGTAGGCTGCTATCATACTCAAAATATAATCAAGTGGTATGGAACAAATTGGCTACGTTAGCTACCACAACCGACGTGATACAGCTGCCCATTGCTGCCAAGTGAAGCAAGTGCAGCTGCTGCCAAGTGGGAAGCAACAGTGGGAAGCACCTGGAAACACTGTTGCACTGGTCATTCCACACTGGCTTCTCATTATGTTAGCTAATTGGCATGTCAAGGTGACATCCAGATGGTGACCAATAAATACTACAAGTTATTTCTCCCTCGCCCATTGAAATAAACATCAC